AACTTTAAGAATAACTATTATGACAATTGTCACTTTTCATTGGTACATCTTCACTAAATTTATATTTACAAATGTTATTAATACTTATTTTAACATATTTTCGTGAAAAAATTCAAAAAACTTTAAAAATAATGATTATGACAATTGTCACTTTTAATTGTCTTCACTAAATTTATATTTACACATGTTATTAATACTTATTTTAACATATTTTCGTCAAGAAAATTCAAAAAACTTTAAAAATAACCATTATGACAATGTCAATTTTCTATGGTACATCTTCACTAAATTTTATTTAAACATGTTATCAATACTTATTTTAACATATTTTCTTCAAAAAAATTCAAAAAACTTATAAATTAACGATTATGACAATTGTCACTTTTCTATGGTACATCTTCACTAAATTTTTATTTAAACATGTTTTTAATATTTATTTTAACATATTTTCGTCAAAAAAATTCAAAAAACTTTAAAAATAACAATTATGACAATTGTCACTTTTCATTGGTACATCTTCACTAAATTTATATTTACACATGTTATTAACACTTATTTTAACATATTTTCGTCAAAAAAATTAAAAACTTTAAAAATAACGATTATGAAAATTGTCACTTTTCATTGGTACATCTTCACTAAATTTATATTTACACATGTTATTAATACTTATTTTAACATATTTTCGTCAAAAATAGTCAAAAAACTTTAAAAATAACGATTATGACAATTGTCACTTTTCATTGTCTTCACTAAATTTATATTTACACATGTTATTAATACTTATTTTAACATATTTTCGTCAAGAAAATTCAAAAAACTTTAAAAATAACCATTATGACAATGTCAATTTTCTATGGTACATCTTTATTTAAAAATGTTATCAATACTTATTTTAACATATTTTCTTCAAAAAAATTCAAAAAACTTATAAAATAACGATTATGACAATTGTCACTTTTCTATGGTACATCTTCACTAAATTTTTATTTAAACATGTTTTTAATACTTATTTTAACATATTTTCGTCAACAAAAATCAAAAAACTTTAAAAATAATGATTATGACAATTGTCGCTTATCTAGAGTACATCTTCACTAAATTTTTATTTAAACATGTTATCAATACTTATTTTAATATATTTTCGTCAAAAAAATTCAAAAAACTTTAAGAATAACTATTATGACAATTGTCACTTTTCATTGGTACATCTTCACTAAATTTATATTTACAAATGTTATTAATACTTATTTTAACATATTTTCGTCAAAAAATTCAAAAAACTTTAAAAATAATGATTATGACAATTGTCACTTTTCATTGTCTTCACTAAATTTATATTTACACATGTTATTAATACTTATTTTAACATATTTTCGTCAAGAAAATTCAAAAAACTTTAAAAATAACCATTATGACAATGTCAATTTTCTATGGTACATCTTCACTAAATTTTATTTAAACATATTATCAATACTTATTTTAACATATTTTCTTCAAAAAAATTCAAAAAACTTATAAATTAACGATTATGACAATTGTCACTTTTCTATGGTACATCTTCACTAAATTTTTATTTAAACATGTTTTTAATATTTATTTTAACATATTTTCGTCAAAAAAATTCAAAAAACTTTAAAAATAGCAATTATGACAATTGTCACTTTTCATTGGTACATCTTCACTAAATTTATATTTACACATGTTATTAATACTTATTTTAACATATTTTCGTCAAAAAATAGTCAAAAAACTTTAAAAATAACGATTATGACAATTGTCACTTTTCATTGTCTTCACTAAATTTATATTTACACATGTTATTAATACTTATTTTAACATATTTTCGTCAAGAAAATTCAAAAAACTTTAAAAATAACCATTATGACAATGTCAATTTTCTATGGTACATCTTCACTAAATTTTATTTAAAAATGTTATCAATACTTATTTTAACATATTTTCTTCAAAAAAATTCAAAAAACTTATAAAATAACGATTATGACAATTGTCACTTTTCTATGGTACATCTTCACTAAATTTTTATTTAAACATGTTTTTAATACTTATTTTAACATATTTTCGTCAAAAATTTTTAAAAATAACGATTATGACAATTGTCATTTTTCATTGTCTTCACTAAATTTATATTTAAACATCTTATTAATACTTATTTTAAAATATTTTCGTCAAAAAAATTCAAAAAACTTTAAAAATAACGATTATGACAATGTCAATTTTCTATGGTACATTTTCACTAAATTTTATTTAAACATGTTATCAATACTTATTTTAACATATTTTCTTCAAAAAAATTCAAAAAACTTATAAAATAACGATTATGACAATTGTCACTTTTCATTGTCTTCACTAAATTTATATTTAAACATCTTATTAATACTTATTTTAAAATATTTTCGTCAAAAAAATTCAAAAAACTTTAAAAATAATGATTATGACAATGTCAATTTTCTATGGTACATCTTCACTAAATTTTATTTAAACATGTTATCAATACTTATTTTAACATATTTTCTTCAAAAAAATTCAAAAAACTTATAAAATAACGATTATGACAATTGTCACTTTTCTATGGTACATCTTCACTAAATTTTTATTTAAACATGTAATAAATACTTATTTTATAATATTTTCTTCAAAAACATTCAAAAAACTTATAAAATAATTATAATGACAATTGTCACTTTTCTATGGTACATCTTCACCAAATTTTAATTTAAACAACTTATTAATACTTATTTTAACATATTTTCTTCAAAAAAATTCAAAAAACATATAAAATAACGATTATGACAATTGTCAATTTTCTATGGTACATCATCACTAAATTTTTATTTAAATATGTTATTAATACTTATTTTAACATATTGTCGTCAAAAAAATTCAAAAAACTTTAAAAATAACGATTATGACAATTGTTACTTTTCATTGGTACATCTTCACTAAATTTATATTTACACATGTTATTAATACTTATTTTAACCTATTTTCTTCAAAAAAATTCAAAAAACTTTAAAAATAACGATTATGACAATTGTTACTTTTCATTGGTACATCTTCACTAAATTTATATTTACACATGTTATTAATACATATTTTAACCTATTTTCTTCAAAAAAATTCAAAAAACTTATAAAATAACGATTATGACAATTGTCACATTAAAATATTATCCTTAAAAAGATCATATAAAATCATCAAAAAAGTTTCATAAAATCCACCTCATTTAATAAAAAATAGATAATTTTAAAAAAAATGATAAAAAAATTATAAAAGATTTCACCTAAATGATTGTTTATTTATCTAATAAAATTTACAATATAATTCCTCAATAAAAGATGTATTTATAAAGAAGATTGTGAAAATCACTAATAAATTATATTAAAAAGAATATTACATTTTATTATAGCAACATATTATTTTTTTTATTAAAATAACATCAAATAAATAAATTTATTTTCATTTCAAAATATAATAATATAAATAAAAAATATTAAATCATATCATGTTTATTTGTTGATAATAATAAAATATTTACATTAAATATAAACAAAATAAATTATTTTACTAAAATAAATAAATAATAATTAATACTAAGCATCGATGCAGAATTTTGACTAATTTAATTTTAGCAGATTTATATAAGCTTAGCCGATTTTTAGGCTTAACCTCATTAGGCTTAGCCGATTTTTAGGCTTAGCCTAATTAGACTCAGCCGATTTTTAGGCTTAGCCTTATTAGGCTTAGGCGTAGTTTTTAGCCGATTACAATCCCGTTAATATAATTTATTAAAAATGGCTTTTATTGGGTTTTTATAAAATTTGATAATTATATATCAAATTGCTATTTCGATTAGGGATCTATAAATCACGGCCCGGCCCTTACCTGGGCTGGGTCTATTTTTAAAAAATAATTTAGGTATGGGCTGGGTCGGGACTAATATTTTTTAAAAAAATTCGGCCGGGCAGAGTCAGGCTTAAATTTTTAAATATGATATTACATTTTGTCAAATGATACTTTTTAAAATTCTTGCAAGATACGCTAATATTTTTTTATTTGTAGAATATTTTTTTTTACAATAAAAAAAATTAAATTTCTCTATATTTAAATAAATTATGGCTGGGCGGACAAATAATTTTTATTTTATTTCGGATCAAGCTTATTGGGATAAATAAAAAAAATTTCGTTCGGGATCGGGTTCCATAGGACAAATTGTTTTAAAAAAATTATGGGCTTGGCCGGGCTTGAAAAATTAGGTCAGATATATATCACTAATTTCGATAACGGTGGTTTTAAAATTTTTTTAGAAATATTTTACATGATAATTTTCTGTTCAATATATTTACTCACATACTTCTAAGCTGCTATGCATAAATTAGCGCTCTGTATCAGACTTATTTTTTCAGATCTTACCCGATCTTAGAAAAATAAACTTTTTTTGTTCGACTGAATACCAACTATTTTCTCAATCCGTTTTAATCTTATCCGATACAATCCAAAATTTAATTATTTTAAGCAAAGTGGAAAAAATTCAAAGCAATAAAAGATATTTAAAAAATTTCTGTTATTCTTGGAAATAATATTCATTAGGAAAACGAAATAAGTTAAATTTAGTGGAGATCCATCTAAAATAAATTTTCAAATCAAGGTGCGGATCTGACCGAACCCAAGAGATGTCTATCAGAGTTCGACCATCCGATCTTATGTGACCGGCCTATGTGAGGTTCTAGTTATAAGCATAAAACTATTCCTAATAATTGTAAAAGCAGATTATTGTCAATCACTTTATTTTTGGATAACTCTAGTATATTTTGTTCTATAACTTTTATCATTCAAATAACTCTAGTATATCTTGTCCTATAACTTTTATCATTCAAATTAATTTCAATATTTTTATTTATAAAATATTTTAAAAAAACAGAGGATTTTAAAAAATATCATGAATTCATGGATTTATTATATAATAAAGTATGACTTACGTTTAGCCGGCATAAATTCCTAAAAAAAATATATAACATTAAATTAAAATAATGGTATAAAAATGGTTAGTTTAAAAGTTACTTTTTTACCATTACTCGTTTGTTACTCTATTTTTAAATGACGAGATATTTTCCCCAAAAATTAAGACCGATATTAATGGAGTTATTTTATTTACCCTGATATTACTTTATAGGGGGGAGGGGGTATTAATAAAAAATATATAAATTAAAAGTTGGTTTTCTTTGTTAATTTCTATAGTACGGATATAAACAAAGTATTTTGTTAATAAAATAAAATTACTTCTGTTTTAAAATGACCAGCCGTAGATACCGATTTCGGGTGATTTTTGATGTAATTATTTTGCCTATTTTTTTAATGAAAATTTCATATAACAATTTTACTATTAAAAAGATTATGTTTTTTTTACCGGCATTGAATCCTGTGTTTCACGATAGCCGGATGCCCATAAAATTCGTTGGGATATTCTATAGCGATAATATTTCTATAATAGTCTCCATTCTATAAAAATAACAAAAACAATTTAAATATATAATTTAGACAAGATAGATAACAGGTTTGGCCAGGGTGTGTAATATTTTTTTTATATTTTAGACCAAGCCCTCTACCAAAACTGATAAAATAAGTCTCTAGAACTTGTCAGAAATAATTAATATACTATTGATTTCTAGTTCATGAAGAAGTGACAGAATGATAAAATAAAATAGAAGATTGTAAGATGTAAACTATAGAATTAGCAAAATGTTTAAAAAAAAGATTCTTCGAAATGTTGTAAAATATATTTAATATTTAAAATATAAAGTTTTCTTTCAACAATATTAGATAAAGAAAATATTAATAGCCTGTTCAAAGTCCTTAAATTGAATTTGAGTAGATTTAAAATATCGTCTATATTAGGTAAAAGAAATTTGAGCACGACTAAGTAAAAAAATTTGTTAAATATTTGAATAAACTTTAAGAGTTATCGTTTGGGAAAATCTCTTATACATGTAAATAAAAAATATTTTAAAAAATTGAAAAAACGAACTTTGATAGTTCCGCATTTACTGAGGGGTATGTTAAATGTTATGAGCCGATTGTGGAAGTAAGAGAATAGACATTCACCGGTTTTATGAAACAAGGTATACACCTTTCCCGTGAAGGGTCTCATAAAATTCATTAAAACCTCGATTCCATCGTCATTGCATTCAAAATTTACTTTTATTTGAATAAATAATTATTTAAAAAAAAATAAAATAAAACATATATACAAGGGTTGTGCATTTAACCGGTCAAATACGTTTAGGTCAATTGAACGATATTTGACTGGTTAAATATGGCCAAATTCAGATATATGTTATTTCAAGTCAAAATTAACTTTATTTTGAATATAATAATAAAATGAATCTATAATATTAATTTTTTAAATTCATTGTCATTCAATAACTAACGTTTAGCTCTCCGTAGCAGAGTCTTAATCCAATTCATATTCAATATTATCATTTTCTTTAATATTTTTTAATCAATTTTCCTGATGTCGAGATCTTCAATCGATTTCTATTTTCATAAGAATATTAACCCAAATCGACTTATTTCTTTCTAAAGAAGAAGTAAAATTAGGAATTGTTAGTCTCTTAATGGTCATGGTGGGCAAAGTTTAATCTATTAACTTGAGGTCGGAATTGAATGTTTCTTATGGAAATTACTGTTTTCCACATAAATTGCTAATAAACATGCTGTTTTTGCTTCTGAAATTAATTATGTCACTTAAAATATTTTGGTCATCATAACCTTGTAAAATGGCTAATTCTTGAATTATATCACATACTTCATTGAATTCACTACTATTGATATGCTCCTCTTGATATTGGGGATCCAAAAAATAAGCAAAATTGTGATCATATGTATTTATATCTTTTTTTCCTTTTTTAAACATATTTAATTTTTTTTTCTTTAGATTTTTTTAGAGTATTTTTGACCAGGTCAAATACTACCCCGGTCAATTGACCGACTGACTTGCCAACCCTGATATATACTACTTTGCTTCAACAAAAATGACTACCTTCAATCTTTCATGACAGATAATTTTTGAAATTAAAAAAACACATTAATATATTTTTTTTATTAAATAAGCCTTTAGGGAATTATAACATAATCCTTCATCTATATAGAGAAAACTTAAAAACATTTATTTTCCTTTAGTTATATCAGAATTATCATGAAATTAAAAAGTGAAGAGTCTTCAATAAAAATGACCACCACATAAATTTATAAATTAAAATTTTTTTATAGGTAAATTAAAATCTAGGCATATCAACGTTTGCTGAATGATCCTAGTTATTATAACTGGGGAATAGTTAATTGACTCCTGGAAAGTCTATGATGCTATATTTGTTTTATCTGTTAAATACTTATATGCAAATCTGCTATTATATAAGAACGATGCCTTCGTAGCTCTCTCTTTATAATTTCCCATATATTCCGCATTTGATTAATCCAGGAATACTATTCCAAAGCTTTATTCTATTATCTAACAACCATTCCTTGCGGATTTTAATGAATGACATGATGCCCCATCCTTTTGAAACTTAAAAAAGAGCATATTTGCTGAGTGGTAAACTAAAACTACTAATAGGGTATTTAATCTAAACTTAAACACAGCCCTCTATACTTTGTCAGTCATGTAATCGCATATAATTAAAATATTAAATTGTCCAATCAAGTTTTTTCTTGTTAAAAAGGATAACCCATTTTGTAAATTATTCTATTACAAACTAATTTAGAGAGAGTTGTATTATACTTATTTGAGATATTTCCCTTTAAATAGAACCCGATCATATTTTGTATAAGCTTTTTCGATCTTCCCTATAACTTTTCTCAACAATGTGTACTGCTTTATTTAATCTTTTAAAGCTTCTTTTTGAATATGCATCATTAGCTAAAATATTAAACGTTTAACTATGATTTTAAATTGAGCTCTACATCAAAGCCATCGAAAGGGAAAAATCGTAAAAGCCAAGAGAAAATTGCGATGATTTAGACCTACTACCTGGACTTCAGAAAAAATAATTTTATTCATTTCATATAATTATATTATTTATTTATTAAATTAAAGACCATGCCCTTCCCACATAATAAACTTACTGGTAGCTTTATTTCGAATCATTTTGGCATCCATATTTGGTGAAGTTGCTGGAATCTATTTTTTAAGAAAAAAAAAGATTTTATAAATTTTATGCGAATTTTCAAGTTAATATTTTGTACCGTGAAGCCCAAATTGTTTTCAAGTATTGTATAATCATTATTATTGTGGCTAAATTTTTGATCTCTCGTATTTTGACCCTTGCCATTATCTTTATGAGCGTCACTTTGCAATCTTGCAGGTTCGGTTTCATTGGCCTTCTCAAACAAGTCATTCGGCGTATTTTGTGAACTTTTGGAATTATCATTCTCATTTTGATCATAAAATAAAGTGGTGCTCTGAATATCCAACTTACTATCTATTGGATATTTACATTTGAATTCATGGATCAATGTATTTTCTCGTTTCGAAGTTTGCGTCCTATAAGTAACATTCAATTTGTTGACAAGAAAACTCCCACGCTTTTAAGGGGATAAATTTTTTATTCCAGTTTTTGTTTCTGTAAGATTTCATAGATTTATTACCATCGTATTGTATAATGTGTTGAAAATTTTGCAGAAAAAATTTGAATCAATTTTAAAACTCAACTTTCCATAGTGTTAAAGACGTGTATTGATGATTTTATATAGAAAAACAATTAATTTAATATCAAAATTGTAAAACTAATTGAAATGTTTAAGTTTTATAATTTTTGCTATATATTTTAAGTTTTTTTTTACTTTATAGTTTTCATTATTTTATTCTATAATGTTTAGTTTATTAAGTAAGTATATATTTTAATAAATTAATTTTCTATCCTTAATTTTTGATCTTATTAATTAAATTTAAAGTGGGAATGAACTCTCATTCAAAACTTCAAATTTCACACATATTTCATATTATGAATATAGTTGGAAATGGAATAATACATTACTGAAGGATTGATTAAAAAAATGCATTTTGCAAAAATTGGACATAGAGCATTATAATACTCAGCCGATACAAGTTGTAACTGTAAATAATTAGTTTCCAAAGGAGTAAAAATAATTGATCGGTTAATTTAATATACAGTTTTTAAATGATTTTCATAGTTTTTTTTAGAATTCTTATTACAATTATTCACGGACTCTCTTATTATAGAATTAAGCAGGGCCCTCTAAGACGGTAGGGATGATGAAATTATATAGTTATCCATTTCATAATTGAATTATATTTTAGTATCAGGTGGCAATCAACGTCATTTGGGGGGGGGGGGCAATCAATTCTCTGAAACTAACTTCCCTTAACCATATTCAGGCCATACCACATATTAGAAAGAGCGAAGCGGCTCAGCCTGAAGAATTTTCTGGTCGTGATAGATAACTTATGCAAATTTATTTTACTGGCCGGGCCGATAAAACTTTATAAAAAATTTATGGGCCGGTTCAAACTGAATTGCGCCGGACCTCACCCCATACATAGTTTAGATAAAATAAGGCAGATTAGGGAGCTCAGAAACTTAAAATATTTATATAGTAAAAAAATAATTAACTGTGCAAAATTGGTTAAGAAAAATTTTGCGAAAACATTTAAATAACTCGCAAATAAAATGCGCGTTATATTTGATATGGACTTACTTTATAAGTTGAGCAGGAATCGAGAGGAATAGCGAAACTGAATGAATTGACTTTTCCAAACGCAAATAAACAGTCTCCTGTTGCAACGGACCCCGAAAAAAGTCCCGGAAATATAACTGAAATATCCGCTCTTCCATCCCTACATTGGACATTGAATTTGGTTCCATACCCTTTAAATTTGAATAAAAAGAAGAAGAAAAATATTTTATGACACGCCATTTTTTACATTAAATATATTTTTTTTTTACCGTTGATGGTAGTCGCTAACCATAGTATCTATAAAATAAAATAAAAATTTGAAAAATTTGTATAAAAATAATTTTGAAATTATAGATAAGACAAACATATTACCTGAAACCAAATTAAACATATCTTTAGTATAGTGCGGAAATTAATCGTCTTTGAAACCATTCTTTGGAAATATTATTACTGATTACTTGTCAAAAATGATTGTCGATTATTATTGTGGCTTAGATTAAAATGACTCATTCTAAATTTCGTCTAGAAATATTTTTAAAAAATTCATAATTTTACATTACACAATTATATGTGACATTTATTTTTTTATTATCATAGCTTACAGGTGAAAATATAAAAGATGTTAACTAAAATAAATGGTAATATTATTTTTGGAAAATCAAGACAAAAAATAATAATTTGAACTTCTTCCTTTTCTTTATTTTAAAAGTATATAATTTATCATTTTTTATAATTATATTTTATTATTTTACTTTTATTATTATGATTTTTAAAAAGAATTAATGATTTGTACTGTATCTTCTGCACAAATAAGATATTTAAAATTTAGGAATATAAGATTATACCATTTTTTTCCTCAAAGTAGTCAAAATAATACTCGTATTTTAAGGATAAATAATACTGCAGCAAGTTTGCTAAAATATCAAGAGCAGTGGCGAAACTAAGGGTAAAGGGGAGATGGGTCTATTCCCTGCCTTAAATCTCGCCTCTGCCCCATTTAAATAATAAAATGGAAATTCAGAGATGCGTAAATCCGGAACCCTATGATAGGGGGCCTTGTAAATTTTTCAAAAATCGGATAGGGCTAAAAAAATGAAAATAAAAATTACCGATTCAGGGACTTATTTTTTTTTTGCAAAACCCTGGAGAGGAGGAGCCCATTTAATTTTTTGTATTAAATCATATCAATTATTAGTTGGAAAATAATATAATTGATTTGTTTTCATTTACTGCTCATAATTTTGATTTCCCTTTGAAACAATTTTACAAAATATAAAAAAACCAAATTTTTTCAAATAAAATTTTAAAAAATTGCGGGTCGGGCTTTGAAATTAAAAAAAATCCGGACCGGACCAAAGAAGCTTTTTAAAATCTGAAGATTTTTGCCTATGCAGGTTCACAGAAATATATAGAATATTTTATGTAATAAGTTTGTTTTTACTTTATGAGGATATCGAAGGATGAAGATGGATTTTTAAAAGAATTGACATAAGATAGAATGATTTTTGCAGAACAAATATTATTTTCAATATATTTAGAATGTAACTTCATTCCCATTTTGGTGGTTATGGAGGAAGGAGGGGGTGCTTTAAAATAATAGTAAATTTTTCATAATTTTTCTTTTACAAAATAAAGAAATCTCACATTACGCGTTTAGTGTAATAAGTAAATACGACAAATTATTTTAAAAAAGAAAAGAAATATAAACTGCTACCTCTTAGTAATTTGTGATTTCAAATTTAAAAAATAAAAAGGTCATTGTCTTGATGAAATGATTTAATATAAAGAAAATTAATAAATATTTAATTAAATTTATAAAAAAATATTTAATGTAAGGCAAACGGTTTGAAAACTATAAGTAAAAGTTAAAGGGAAAACATTTTATAACATTGGTAATAAAAAGAAAAAATTAGCATAAATAATTTTAATTAAAAAAAAATTCCTTTCTATAATTCGTTCCTATTATCATCTCTATTAATATTGAGTATAAATAAACTATTTATAATATTTATAAATATAATGTTAAACAAATTGTCAATCACTTTTTATTTTGCACAATTTACGCCAATTTAGCAACACAGAAAACATTTTAATGATATTTTTAAAATAGGGGTAATTTGTTAAATAATGTATTTGAAATGGGTATCGAATTACACACATAACAGTAACAGTCATGCAGGGCATTAATTTTTCGATTAATAGCTAATATAAAAGTACTGATACTAGAAGACTGAAATTATTTCTAGAACTTAATACTTGTATTATTTCTGTAATAAAATCTTTATATAATTTAAAGAGGCATACTTCCCCAAAATCCGGTCTTCTTATTCAACGCGGTGGAGGAGTCGTCTTCGGGGTTTAATAGAGGTTTATCCCAATAAATCAGCTCTAATACCCCCATGAATATGATTACATTAAAATATTGGTGGGGTACAGGTGAAAATGCCCCGTGGATCTCCTCAACCGTATACGAAAAAAGGGAATCCGGATTATTGATAAAAATTGTTGGCTTTACACGTGGAAATTCGAACACAAAATTTCCGGTACCATTCGAGGCTAGAATGTATTTTGAACCCGGGTTCAAGGCAGGGGAGCAAAATGGACTTTTTTTAGGTTCAGCATGAGTTCAGAAATGACAATCGATTCTGGTTTGTTGTTAAAACACAAAATATATTTTATAAAATTTTAAAACTCATGTAACAATAACAAATAAATATGATGATAATAGATATTTAATAAGTGAAAGCGCTTTTTTAAAATTTCGGTTTACGGGTTAAGTCCATATGAAATCTGAAAATAAGTTCGGCATTTTAAAATATCCCCGGTTCAAGATTAAGGGTTCTGTTTTAATCCTCTTAAATGACATATCACCATGCCAAATAATTATATGGCATTCTCAACCTTGAATTCTGTTAGCATGACTAGAAAAGTTGGCAAGATAATTGACAAATGGAGTGGATATGTGCTTCTTGAAAGAGGTCAGGTAAAAAATAAAAGGTACAAGAATTATTGGTGGAGTTAGTTAAATGCAAATTTTTTCGGCAAAGACGCGATGTTGGCAATGTTGGTATTGGTAGGTGGATAAACAATACTCGACGTGAGAAGATGGGGCAATCATATATTAGTCATTATGGTGGTCATTGAAAAATAATATTGACGTGATTTGAACGTATAACACAAATTGGTAGAAGATATGAAGAGAATATATATTTTGGGACAGGATGTTATAAATGGCATTAGAGTGCCTCACGCAGAGGCAATTATTCTCTAAGGCGATGGAAGTTCACGTTAGATGGGATTAAAGGAAATAAAGGAGATCATGGGGGCATTAACACGATAAATGTTGAGCGAGAGATGATAATGAATTTTGACGGTCTGACGAAAATAATAGAATTCAGCACGCTCTAGATAAAAAATTTGATTATGAATCCGACGATGTAAGAAGTACAACAGTGGATTAATATTTGATGGTAAAGAGAAATTGATCGTTGCATATTAAAAAAAAATTGAAGATCATTCCAAGAGTGTGTGATATAACATAGTTTAATTGTAGGAAACCTATTATGGTGTGAGATAGAACAAAGGAAAATGTGTGGCAAGGTTTAAATTTTGTAATATAAAGGCGAGATAGAGCTCTGCAAATTAATTCGGCCCAGCCCTAATTTATATAAACTAAACCCATCCGATTTTTTTATTTTAGGCCAATCCTGGCCCGGCCCTAAATTTTTAAATAAAAAACATAAAATAAAGGTATTTTTATATAGTTATTGAAAGCAAAAATCACGAATTGTTTTGTCCTTATTGTCAAGGTAAGAAGACGTAATTACAAAAACCTCCAAATAAAATAGGTATAATGGCAAAGGAAATTATAACTAGACGAATGATAATGAGTAAAAAGTAAATAAATAAATGAAGAAAAGATGATTGACTCGACCTAAATAAATAAATAATAATGAGATTGTAAAAATAGAATATATATAAAAGCGTGGAAAACGATGATTGTATAAGGATTAGTGATTTTTTTACTTGATATATTTTTTTTATTTTATTATTATTTGTATTTCTGTTTAAAAGAAAAAAAGAAGTAAAGAATTTTATCGACATTGAAAATTAAGTAACATCAAGTATATATATACTAGAGATAGCTCGTCAAAAATGACGGGGAATGAAAATTTTCTTCTTACTTTTATGCATGTTACTTGTTATTTGAAAATAATATCCAATTTTTATTCTTCTTATCCCCTCATCCCTTCAGGCCAGGTTTAATCCATTAAACTAAGTGCTATGGTTTGAGTAAAAATAAATTTAAAGCATTTACTTGATAATACCAATATTATTTGTTAAATATTACTGATTACTTATACCTAATATTTAATATTAAAAAAAATTCCCAGGCAAAGTCCAAAGCCATATTAATTATGAAAAATTCTTCCAAGCCCAATGAAAGATATAATTTTGGCAGTTAAGAACTGAAATAAAATATTTAAATAATCATAATGAATTTAAAAATACAATCAAAATTCAGATTTTCATGGGCCTTGGTTTTTTGATCAGGTCAAGCCCAGGCCTGCAAAAAAATTTGTTTTGGGCCAATGTCTGACCTATAATTAATAATAAAAAAAATTCTCAAGCGTCCAAGCTCATAATAATTTTGAAAAATTTTTCCCAAGCCCAGCCCAATATAATTTATAAAAATATTTTCCAAGCCCAGCCCAGCCCAACCCATAATAATTTTATAAAAAAAATTTCTCAAACCTGGCCAACCGATAGTAATTTAAATTTATTTTCTAAGCCTGGAGATAGGTAAATCTCTAAAAACCATTTAGTCTATTTTAACCCAGCTCACCCCAACCAAGGCCAACCCATTAAGACTAAGAGTGAATACTATTTTTTAATATAAATATATTTAAATTAGATTTTACCTGAGGGGCATATAAATATTCGGTGTTAAATATTACACCTATGCCTAATATCAAAAATATTCCCAAGCCAGGTCCTCGCACTTGGTTTTCTCAAACCCGCAAAAGACCATAATAATTTTGATAGTTGAGGACTGAAATAAAATATATAAAAAGTCATAATGCATTTAAAATGGTTTTTTGAACAGGCCTGGCTATGCCTGTAAAATAAATTTCAGATCAATTTATAACCCTTATTTAAAATTCAAAAATCTTAAAGCACCTCTATTTTAAATTTTATCCAATATGATTTCCATCACATTTTTAAATTTTGATATTTCTAATACATGCTCACAGTATACATTGCAACATTTTTACCACTTTTACTCTTAAATTTTAATATTTATATAAAATTTATTAATAAAGTATATTTAATACCATACACACAAACTAAATAATTACCCTTCAACCTTCAACCCATGGTTTTTTGATCAGGCCTGGCTATGTCTGCAAAAAAAATTTCAGACCAATCTATAACTCATATTTAAAATTCAAAAATCTTAAAGCACCTCTATTTTAAATTTTATTAATATGATTTCCATCACATTTTTAAATTTTGATATTTCTAATACATGCTCACAGTATACATAACAATTTTGCCTCTTAATTTTAATATTTATATAAAATTTATTAATAAAGTATATTTAATACCATACACACAAACTAAATAATTACCCTTCAACATCTATATAATTAATATTTTAAATTTAATTATGTTCAAATTGGTGCATGGGTGAAACTTTAATATATATATAATTAATAATTTAAATATATTATATTCAAGTTGGTTTGAAACGGGAGGCTCGAGTTCGATTCTCTTAGAGAGAAAAAATTAACATTACCTATATTTTTAAATTTAAAATACATTAGGGAGATACGAAAACGATCGTCTTATGTTTATGGAGATTATATATATTAGATTAAGCTTGGTAATGGAATAAGTAAAGAAATAGCAAATAAAATAGGAAAAAGAGTAAAAGTAAAACCCCAAACGAAAAATAAGAAAAGAAATAAAGTAAGAAGGGTTTTACAATACTTATTAGAGATAAATTCTAATTATCATGTTATTTGATAAAATATAATTTTCGGTTATATTTTCAGATTTTAAAAAAATGTATATTTAAATCCGGGTCCAGTCAGATTTTTTTAAAAAAATCTAGGCCCGAGCGCGGGCCAAAATATTTAAAAATTTTGGTCTGATGTTGGATTTTAGACCAAATTGTATGGCACTAGGTGAGAATATCTGGAAGTTAAATTATAAAGATGCTAGCCCAGGATAATACTATCGAATCGCCGAGTATGATAGGAAGCAATAAATGGACCTATAAGTCATAAGGAAACTTCCAGTGGAATCCGTGAAAGAAAAGAAAATGTGTTTTGAGAAATGACAGAAGACAAAATTAGAAGGCAGTAGTTTAAGAAAAAGCGTAACAAAATCTAAAGAGAATGATTGCAAAGATACAAGTAGCTAAAAAGCATGAATTTGCAAATGGTTTTTAGAGTGAGGGAGGAAAGAAGTATGAAAACACGACTGTACAAATCATATGACGAATAAAAGACGGGATGTAATGGTCATTGTTTGTAACTGTCCAAATGATATGTTAATTGATGGTAAATAAATTAGGATGAATCGGAAAATATAAAGAATTGATAAGCAGGGAAAATGAGTAAAATACGGATGTTCACTGGGATAAGATGGCAAATCCTGGCCATAGGCGTAGCGAAGGAAGGAACTTGACGTTTCTCCATTTGACAATTAATCTCCTTTAGTAAATTTCACATTTGACAATTAACCTCCTCAAGTAAATTTCATTTTAAGTTAATAGATAATATTCCCCTTCACACTTCTCTCTCCTAAAAATGTATATAATATATAACTATAAACAATAATTTGAAAATAATAAGAAGTTAAAAATTTTTTTTATAATTATGTCTATAATTCAAAATTTTCAGAAAAAAGCATATCTATAAAAGTTAAAAACCAAAATTATTTAAAAAAGATGTAACATAGCCAAAGCCTGCAATCAGAGAACTTGGCTTCCAGCAAAATTTATGGGAAAAATTCATCAAATATTGCTTACCCTCTCTTAACAAAATCATGGTTATACCTATTGTCCTGGCTGTATGTTTGGGAGAGTAGTTTAGAAAACATTAAAGAAGATGAAGAGAAGTAGAGAAATGCCAACAGAAATGATAAAAGCACAGAAAAAATTGGAGTGGATTACAGACAGCAATTATATTATGTGAAAGAACTATTCCCGGGGGCTGGGAAAGAAGCATTTGATTTAGTGTGCAGGTTCGTACGAGGTGATTAAACTCTTGGGCAGGGAATAAAAGGGAGAAGAAAATCAGGAATCAGTGAGAATCAACGATATGCATTTTTTTACAGTAGGGAGTTAACTATGGATACAAATTTTGAGACAAATGCAAGAAATATCAAGCGAAGAGTAAGGCACTTTATTAGGCCTGATGAAAGATTGAATTAAAATAGCCGCTACAGCAAAGATCAGTCGCAACTCTCAAATTCTTATTAAAGTAAAATAGACACTAACTAGTTTAAGGGGGTTCGAGTAAGGGTCGTGACATGGAATGTTGGGAGTATGACGGGAAGAGCAGGAGAAGTGGTTGATGTATTGCATAGAAGGCATATAGATGTGTGTTGCATACAGGAGACCAGATGGAAAGTAAATGGCGCAATGGCAAGAATAATGAAAAGTATAAATTCTTTTGGCAAAGTAATAATAATAGGAGTTGGGGTATTGGTTGCAGAGAAATTGGTAGACTAAGTAGTCGAAGTGAGAAGGCTAGATAACCAGATAATGGGTATCAAGATGATTTTTGGTAGAAAGCTATATAATATTATCTCGGCATATGTTCCTCATGTTGGAAGAAGTGAAGAAGAGACAGTTATATTTTGGGACAGTCTATTGGGGGTGACATCGAGACTGGCAAATGAAGAGGGGATTATCCTGGCTGGTGATCTGAATGGACATGTAGAAGCGAGTAGTGAGGGTTATGAAGGAGTACATGGAGGGTAGAGTTACGGCATGAGGAAACTGGAAGGGGAGAGGATTTTAGATTTTAGTGATGCTATGGATATGATTGTCTGTATACAATGCTTAAGAAAGAATCAGATGACTTATAAGTCCGGTAGTGCCAAAAGTGCGGTAGATTAATTGTTATTAAGGAGACGTGATAGATTTATAGTAAAAAATGTGAAAGTGATACCGGGAGAGAAATGTATTAATCAGCATCGACTAGTTATAGTAGATCTTACTTTTATAGGCGCCAGGATCAATAAAAGAAAGTTTGTGCCAAGACTGAAGGCCTGGAAATTGAAGGAGGAGAGTGCAAGACGACAATTCAATATGACATTGGCGATATAGGAGGCGGAGGTGGCACAAACATCTGGGGTAAATGACAAGCCATGAAGAAAGCCTGGGTGATGACAACTGAGGAGGTATGTAGATGGACAAAAAGGCCGCTTAGACATAAGGAGACTTGGTGGTGGAACCCGGAGGTAGCGAAAGCTGTGGATGAGAAACGCAGGTGCTTCAAAGAATGATATAATAGTAAAGATAATAGTGATAACGATATTTACAAGATGGTGAAAAGAAATGCTAAGAAATTAATAGCGAAGGCGCAAGAAGAAAAAAGGCAGGAGTTGGTAAAGAAATGAAATGCGCTGAAGGAATGGGAAATGTGGTGCGAATGGCAAAGCAGATGGCAAAAAAGAGGCAAGATATGGTAGGTGTTAAATGTTTGAAAAATATGGAAGGAAAAATGGTGATTGATAGTAATGGTATAAGGAACACCTGGAAGATCTACATGGAAAGACTTTTGAACGAAGAAAATGAATGGGATAAAAATATTATTTGTGCAAAGGTAGAAGGTCCAGAGTGTAAATTTAGCAAGGATGAAATAAAGAGAGCAGTGAAAAAATGGAAAAAGGGAAGGCATCGGGTTTAACGATGGTTGTATCAGAGATGTTTAAAGGTTCTGATGAGTTAGGGATTGAATGGTTATTGAATTTGGAAAATCAAATTGTCACAGAAGGAACTATTCCCGAGGACTGGAGAAGAAGTAATATTATCCCAGTATACAAGGGAAAAGGTGATCCTTTAGATTACGGGTCTTACAGAGCTATTAAACTCTTGGAACATGCAATGAAGGTATTTCAGAGGGTGTTAGAGAAGCGGATAAGGGAACAAACTAAAATTGATGAAATGCAGTTTGGTTTTACATCGTGGAAAGGCACAACAGATGCCATTTTTGTGGTGAGACAAATACAGGAGAAGTATCTTGCGAAGAAAAGAAACAGTATTATGCGTTTGTTGATTTGAAGAAAGCATTTGGCAGGGTGCCGCGTGAGGTTACTAGATGGCCCTGAGAAAATCAGGTGTGGAGGAATGGTTGGTTATTGCAGTAATGGCAATGTATGTTAGAGCACAAACAGCAGTACGGGCGGATTATGGTGATAGTGAAAGCTTTGAAGTGAAGGTAGGACTTCATCAAGGATCCGTGCTGAGTCTATTATTATTTATCTTAGTAATGGATGTGGTGGCTAGAGAAATACGCCAAGGACTTCCCTGGGAGCTATTATATGCAGATGACCTTGTATTAATGGCAAACAGTGAGGAAGAATTGAGGGACTATGGAAGCAAAGGGCCTGAAAATGAATATAGCAAAGACAAAGGTGATGATTGGTGGGGAAAATCTAAAAATGGAGGAATCCGGTAAATGGCCTTGTGGTGTATGTGGGAAAAGAGTTGCTAGAAATTCAATCCAATGCACCAGATGCCATAAATAGGTACATAATAGATGTAGCGGGAAAAATGGAAGTTTGATGTTATCAAGAATGACTTTTATTTGTAGATCGTGCATGAAAGGGGTACATAATAATGACAACGTAGAAAAAAGTGGTTTGGATACAATAGGTTAACCTATAAAAAGGTGATAAGTTTTGTTATTTGGGTGATATGCTAGATGCAGATAGTGTAGATTCTGCCGTTGTTGCAAGGGTCAGACAAGCATGGAAGAAGTTCTGAGAGATGTCGTCTATTCTAACAAATAAAAAAGTCTCTCTGATGTTAAGGGGAAAGTTTACGTAAGCTGTTGAGGAGTTGTTTAGTTTATGACGGAGAAACATGGGCAATGAAAACGACTCACGAAGCCAAATTAGAAAGAACAGATGTGAGAAGGATTAGATGGATGTGTGAGGTTTCTCTGAGAGAGAAAAACTAGCAAGGAATTGTGAGCAAGATTGGGTATAGAAATGATTGGAGTGGTAATGCGACGAAATAGACTAAGATGGTTTGGGCATGTGGAACGTATGACAAAAGATGACCGGGTAAAGAGATGCACCTTGATGGAAGTAGCAAGATCAAGATCTAGAGGAATGCCCAAGATGACGTGGACAAATGTGATAGTGGCGGATATGAGAAACATGAATCTTACAAATATTGATGCTCAGGACCGTCAGAAAAGGAAAAGAAAAATCAGAGGGAAAACTGACCTACCTGGGTAAACCTGGAAATCGCCATAAAACGGAGAAGAAGACACTAGTGAGAAAGGAAGTGAAAATGCTTGAAAGAAAGAGGTGAGTAAGAGTTAAAATCTTTAATTAAAAAGTAAATTATTTTCAAAAATCATGAGTTTTTTAAAAAATAAAAGTCGAAATAAAAAACATGCATTCTTTAACAAAAATGAATATGTTTATGTTCAAAATTCGTCTAAAGTAAAAGGAATGTCGTTTGCCATGTTTTATAAAAAAGTAACAAATTTTATTAACGAACATCCCACTTAGAACACGTTCGTTTATACTTACTATCAACAAAGTCAATACTACAATAAAAATTTAGAATATTTGATTGTTGACAGTGGCCAATCTAATACTATAAATAATCTAACATACTTAATAAAACAAATATTACATGCGAGTAGTGCATATTTATTATCTGTCAGAATTGAATACGAATAATATTCGATAGGCAAATGGTATCTTCTTTAACCTAAATGTTCACTCTATATGTATTATAAAGATCTATGATCTTGATATAATATTAATATTTATTCATATTTTTAATAAAATTCGGATTGTCTATTAATTTATCTTGTATAACAAACTCTACACTTATCTTTATTATAAATGACGGAGCCATTGTGTTTTAAATAGGTTCCTCAATTATCTTTCAATTTTGGCGAATTATAAGTTACGATTTGATGATAACAATAATAAATGTTCAGGATTCTCTACCGATATAAAATATTTTTCAAAGGATTCGTGCGTGTTTCAGTTTTAATATTAAATTTGGTAAAATCAAAACTAGGAAATTTCAAATATTCTAATAAAAATCTAAATATTTTAAAATTTGGTCAAATTAATTTATTCATAAAATATATTTATATAAAATGATGAAATCGACGATTTATTTATTTTAAAATATAATTAAATACATTTGCTCTGTAATGATATACAAAATCCTTAATTTTTAAAAAAATATTATAGTTTTCCTTTAGACTTCTTTTGATGTTTGGACGCGTTAATATTTTTCCTGTAATTTGCAAATGCTTGTTTCTTCTCTTTCTTATATCGTTCTTTGAATACCTGCTCGGGTTTTCTAAGGCCCAAGGCCCTTTCGGGGCCTCCTTTGTTTTTACTAGAAAGCTTACTTTTCCTATTACCAAAATTTTTAGAGAAATTCGGTTTATTGCATTTAAGGACATTATTAAAAGATCCTCTAAATTTAGGCCGGTTTCTCCAATCATTATTAAGAACCCTTTTGCGATTGCCTAGTGTTTCGATTTCATTTGTTTCATCATTGTCTGCTTCGTAATTTTGATCAGATTGTTTATTGGGGGCATTATCATTGAGTTGACAATAAAGAGCGCTACCCCCATTTGTTTTTTTGAGCCAATTTAGATATATCTCGGGTTTGCTGCGCGATCCCAAGACTCTAACCCCACTCTCGTTAACTATTTTTTGCTTTTTGCGGTTAGATTTGAGGTCGTCTGTCAAAACATTTTATTTTGAAAATATATTTAATCTTTTTATCGATTTATAAAATTATTGGTCTTTTATCAAAGTTTCAACAAATTACAAAACTATTTTTTAAATGGAAAAATAATTGATAATTTTATATGAAAATGCTTTAATTTAATACAGACCAGGATTTAAAAGTAAATGTGTTAATATTTTAAATCAAAACTGCCTAGACTTAAAAACTTTTTTTTAAAAAAGAAACTCAAAATTATTTTTATATAAGTAAAAAAAATTTCTCATTTGATACTCTTTCTTCTTTTTTGATAAATAAAATTTAAAATAAATGCAACAAAGTATTTATGTCAAATAAAATTATTTTTACTAGCATTCACGAATCTTTTCCGCTTAGAATCCCATACCATTTTTTCTTTTATTCCTTTCCTTTCGTTTTTTGTATTCCTGGGGGTAGTACCGTCATCATAACCTGTGATTTCAACCAAAGATTATAAGTGATTAGGGATTAAAATTAAAAAACTATTTTTTGATAGCTTTAACCATTATGCGCCAAAATAATTTTAGGTTACATGCATTTTATTTTATTAAAAGATACACCAAGTAAAAAAATAGAATTACAATATTACAATTACCTGAGCCTGCCTGAACCAAATTTTATAGAACAGGCTTATAGATGAAATCAAAGCTCGGTCTGTAGTTCATTTTAATTTTATTTTTGGACAACCATCCCATACATGCCTTTCATAACTTGTAAAGAACGGGAACGTTCCTGAGAACTAATTTAAATTAAAAATTCTTACTTTCCAACAATTGTAATATCATTAGAAAATGTTTTAAAATACATGAAATCTTATAAAAATATATATTTAAATCATCGATGAATTCTTTTATCAGCTGATTTTATTAAGTCTCCTTAAAGATTATAATAGTCATGACTTTTTACGGGTTTTCCTATTATACATCTAACTTATTAAAGCCAAATATGTCTCATTTTAAGTTATATTCAATTTGGAAGATTTTAAAAAAAGTTTCACAAATTCTTGAAAATTCTCAAAACTCCCGTTTTTGTTAAAATAATTATATCTCTAAAATAACGAAACCTATATCGAGCACATGATCTTCCGCCTTTTGGATAACGTTATTTTGAGGGGCGTAAGGAACAAAACAAGCTGGGTTCGCGAATTTTCCTCGCGTTGCGGTGTAATTCAATATAGGAGCTACGGTATTTCGAGGAAAATGTAAAGAGATCGAACGCTTGACGGATTTTCGGGGCTTTTGGGATTGTGTGGTCAAATTTGGAAATGCTATGTTTTTGTTGTTTTGACAATTTTTTTTAAAGTTCTTAAGCTGGGCTAAAAACCGCAATTTATCGTCTGCTCGTTCAGCATTTTCTAAAAATTGAGCAAAAATATATATCTACAAGGTCACAATTAGAAGGCGATCACGATAAATAACAGCGTTTATATTTCTTTCTTCATAATGATACAAACAAAAGTTGAGATTTATCGATAATTACAGCAGATTACTTATATAATCAAAATCTAAAAAGCGATTTTTAAAAATAATAACAGTTTATACCATCCTGATCGACGAAAATAGGGTGGGCTCTAAGCATCAAGGCTCCGCCCTTGTTCAAATACTCTTCTTTAAGTCTCTTGATTGCTTCATTAGTGGGTCGAGTTTGGGATTTAAGGAATTTTAGAAGAGCTCTGTCACATACGGCGGCCAAGTTAGAGAGGTTGTAATCGTTTTTATCAATGCTATTCGCATTATCCGTCACCTTGTAATCGGAAAAGGAGTTTAAATGATCGGGAATACTTCCGAATAAGTGGAACGATCTAGTTAAGCTAAAAAAAAATTTATAATATAAGGTTTATCTCCAAAAACACATGATTTTATAATAGCGTAATTTAAAAAAATTTTTTTTTGACATAAAGACATTTTATTACACCTTTATAAAAAGCACTGTACTCTAATAAACTCTATAACAATAGGTTATTTTAAATTCAAATATTATAGTATATTTTTTAAAAAATTAATGAATTACAATAGCATACCCTTGATCATGCCTTTCCTGAGTTATTTCGTCCAGCGATCCCATTCCAGCCCTGTAATAGAGCAAATCGTGCCCGATGAAATTCAAGAAATCATATACGTGAGGGAGTTCTTGGTGAGAGATAAGGGAATAAGCGGTTCCTTTGTTACCAGCTCTGGCGACTCGGCCTTTTATAAGATTAATGTTATTATTGTCTAATTTTGACAAAATTTTTCGTGAAAAACATATCTTTAATTTACCTAATCTAGAGCAATAAATTTATTTCGGTGTTTAAATTATACATTTATTTTTTTCTCTGTAATATAAATATAAAAAATTCATTTAAATTGTTGTGATAGAGGAGTTATAAATCAAAAATTAAAGAAGAGTAAATGACCATATTAATTAAATATTGAAGGATATGTATACAATTTATTTTAAAGAATTCCTATAGAGTATATAAACTTAATCCATATCTTTGAACGAAAAAAAATAAGCAAAAATTCCCTCATCAACCTCCCTACGCAAAATTAGTCTGTATACGATGAAAATATAATAAAGTAGATAGAGAGTGATAGAATAAGGATTTCCAAGATTTATATGAGATCAGAGAAATGTTTGTCAGTCTAAATCCATCTCATGATCGTCTCACTTTAAAATTTGCAGTAAGTTCAAATTTTATGGCAAAAGCTATGAGATTTGTACTGAAATTTTTGATGAATCTCCAGTTACAATGATACACCAGTATATATTTAAGAGAAAAATAAAATTTCTTAAGACAATTTACAAATTTAATCATTAACAACTATATTGTATATCGTAATCATAAAATTTTTACTAACCGACTCTATGCAAAAATAGCTTTGGGGAGGATGGAAAAGTAAAGTTTATAACGCAATCGAGTAAGGGTATATCCAAGCCTCTGGCAGCTATATCCGTGACCAACATAATTTCTGAAATGCCTTCCCTGAATTTCGATATGTTCGTTTTTCTGGCTGAAGCATCTAACGAGCTGTATACGTAGGTACATTCGATTCCTAAACGAGCCAATATTAGCTAGAAAAATAATGGTGTAATTGATAAATATCTAAATTATTAAACTAAAAAATAATGGAAATAAACATTTGACACTTATAATTTGCCTAAAAACTGTCGAATCATGTGGAGATAAATGGGTTAAACCCAAATTTGATATAATCATGCAGGGCCGAATCAAGGATTTTTTTTAATAAGACAGGCAAATATTATTTTGCCAAATAAAAAATATATTCTAAATACAAAGTTAATATAACTAATAATAATAAAATATACAATTTTTATTATATTTAAAAACAAAATTTTATATGAATTTTTCTCTTACTTTTTTTCACTGAATCATCTATCAATAATATTAAAATTTCTTACTTCAATTGAAACAATCAAAAATTATTAAGCCTTTACTGTGTCAGTCGATCTTAGATAGGTTTCAGTATGTTAAGTAATGAAAAAAAAATTATTGCCTCAAATAGGTATTTTCCAATATTTTCTATATGTTTTAGAATTAAAGTATTAATATACTTTTTAAAAAAATATGAACACGAATTCAGGAATTTTTAACTCTATATTTAGAAGAAATTTTGATAACATAAATTTAATCGGAAACGATTCTCTCAAAAGTGTCAGAACCCGCCCTTAGAAAAACTCAGGAATCAATGGGTTGTCCATAAATCGGTCCTATCTGTTCTCACAATGCCCAACCAAACGATCCCATTTGGCTACATAGCCTTGCTTTTATTAAATATTATTTATTATTTTTATAAATTAATATAAAAAAGTTTACCAATTTTTTTTCCAGGGGCGGGAAAAAAGTGTCGATAATTTTTTGTTTTTGCTATAATTAAATTTTTTATTTTATCTATTTAAATAAAATATAATTTAAATTTTTCAAAAATATATTTAAAAAATAAGAGGTATCATAAGGATACCCCCTCCCCCGAACATATCAGGAGCCGTAGCAATTTTTAAAAATGATCAAATAAATGGGAACGTTGTATTGACTGCACCTTCATCTTATTAAATATTTTTATCAGAATTAATAATTTTATATCTTTAAAAATAATAAATGTCATATATGATTAACTCCTATTTCAAATGTGTAGTAAATTGATTAAAAATATATTTAATTTTAATATTTTGGCGGTTACAAATATCTCCTAGTGGCAGATGATTTTAAAATGGTGGTTTCAAGAATGTGTACCACTCAAAAAGTTAACTCTTTTAAGTATCAAAAAATAACAAGAGATTTCAAAAAAAAATCTTTCATAAGAAAAGAAAATTAAAATTATAAGCCATATCATTAAAAAAAATTATTGACCATTATTAGACCTTGGCATTACTCATTTTATTAAAATATGCGAATTTTTCTCAGGTAAAAAAGAATCTTTTATTTAGACCGCATAAAAATTTTCATGGTCAAATTTAAATACAATTTGTTAATGATTTTAAGTATCTTTTACTTTTGAGTAGAAAAAGGATAAATTTTAAGTATTCCACATTCAAAAACGTATTTAGAGATTATATATGTATTATATCAACTTTATGTATATAGAATATTTAGCTCAAGAAGAAAATAAAAATTGTATATTTATTGTATTAAATAAAATTGGTTAAAAAATTAATCGACTCAACCCAAATAAAGTTATTTGATATTAAACTAGGTCCCTGCAAAATGATATCGAAATGCCTAAGGGTTAAAAAGGCTTCACAAATAATCAACTTTTAATCTGCACGCTCGCCCACTGTTAAATTATTTTTGAGCCCACCCCATGTTAAAACCAGAAATAAATAAATATTAATAAGGTTCAAAATTTTGGTAAAATTGTATTTTGTATAAGAAAAAAGGCAAGGGTTAAAATAATAAAATGAAATAAAAAAAATGTAATGCATGAATATTGCATTATGCTATTTTTTTCACCTCTCAAAATATATCATTAACCCATAATACCTTCAATGGTACCGTTTTAGGTGAATCAAGGAAGGGGATTGATCGTTTAACTGATGCATAGGGTATAGTTGCAAAATCGCTCAATTTGAGCCGATTTTTATAAAGGGCTAACTCGGTATTTTATTCAGAAAAATATTAAGCATGCCTGAAGATTTGGTCTTAGATGACATAAAGGTTTGGACATCTAATAGTCAATCTCGAGGCTTATGCAATATTTTTCCGGCTAAAATATTGTTTTTAAAAATCGACTCAAACGAGCCGTTTATAACACTAGTCAGATTATTGCTTATTTTTATTTATGGGCAGGGAAAAGTCCCATTGTAATCCTTTAGTTTCTATTAACTACGTCAATCCTTTTTTCAAATCCAAAAAGATATAAAAAAAATTATAAAATGAAAAAAAAATTACTAATAAAATAATTTATAAAAAATGTTTTAAAAATAATTAATTAAAAACCTAAAATCACAAATTGATGTATCATGGAACAAATACCTATAAATTCCTTATTTTGGACTGGCCCTGCTATCACGTGATTTATTTCAATTTCTATATACCATTATTAAAATATCCATATATTATAAGATCAATTCATTTTTCCCCTAAAAAGCATATGCCAAAAATTGGTACCTCTCTGATATAATCGACATGATATTTCGTGGGCAAAAATACTAAAATCTTCCATTTTTTATCGCCTTTTTGGGCATCCAAGCCAAAGTGTTTATTATCGTCATCTATGCTATATTTTTTTGTATTTTTATCATTTATGTCACTATTTTCATTGAATATCGAGTTAGCTGCTGGCCTTCTATCTGGAAATGAATTTTTAAATATATTCCCTACCACTTCCTTTTCTTTTGGCGATTGTTTATTAGAGTTTTCACTTATAAAACTTTCAATCAACCGGAACAAACAATGAATTTTATCCGTGCCATCCCCACTGTGCAACTGATTTGTGCCTTTGCAAGCTAAAAATTGTAGGCTTAATTCAGGACTCATTCTGTATTCAGCATCACATTTGACAAAAACGAAGGGGGAAGGAAGATCAGGGAAAATAGAGGAGGTTTCAACGGAGGAAGTAAAATTTGAGGCCATTTGAGAAGAAAAAGTTGCAGAAAATAATAGTGTTTGCCTGAGGGAAAAAGAAGAGCAAGATGCTTGAGAAGGTAGATGTTCTTGAACAAGGGAAGATATCTGAGGGGCAAAGCCTAATTCTAATAGCCTTTATTTTTTTTTTTTAAATAAAGTAGGTGTATATATTTATATAGTAATCATGATTAGTGTAACAAAATTCCATATGTGTCTAAAAACTTTCTTATATAGTTATTTCATTTACAGCAATTATTGTAAAAACATTTTGACATAATTTAAAAAAAAGTATTATTAATAAATTTTTTAACACTCTATAAATTAGGAAATTAATTTGTGTCTAAAACTTGTTTCAAAAGTTTTAAATGTTAAAGTTTTTTTTTAAAACAATAAATAAATTTTATTAAATTTTAAAAAATATATTTAAAAATAGCATAATATATTAAATCGATATTATAATAGCATGTAAAAAAAAATCATGTAAATAACTTAAAACAAGACAAATATAAGAACTATATTACTTATTTAAAAAATATTTATTTTGATCAGCAATGCTTTTATTATTGAACAGCAAAACAAATACCACCAAAATCTTAAAAGCAATTTAGAGCAAGATCATCATTTGGTAATGTAATATGTGATTTTTCTAAAAATTACTCTTTAATATTTCAAGATGAAATACAGAGCTATCCCTGGGCCACTTCCCAGATCATCCTACATCCCTTTGTAATATATTACAAAGTTAATAATTCATTTAATCATATAAGTTATGTTGTCATATCCGAGTCGCTGGAAAATAATACCTGCTTATTTCATTATTTCCAAAAAAATTAATAAACTTTCTAAAAAATTATTATTTATCAGATCCTAAATACATTTATTATTATTCCGATAGGTCCGCGGCCCAATATAAAAACAGGGAAAATTTCATAAATTTATGTTATCATCAGGTAGACTTTGTTATCTTAGCAGAACGGTATTTCTTTGCTACCGCGCATGGAAAAGTTCTTGCGATGGAATAGGGGAAACTGTGAAACGCTTGGCTGCACTGGCTAGTTTAAAACGACATTATGAATATCAAATAAAATCTCCTTGCGATTTCTTTAAATTCGCTGAGGAAAATATAAAATCTTTTATGATAATGAATGGTGAGTGGCCTATATTCTAGCGATTATTAGTGCTGATAAGGTAAAGGTAATATTTTTACACCCTAATGGACCTTCAAATTCCTTTAATCATCCTTCAAAATCTGATATTCTTATTTTTTCGAAGAATGATATTCCAACTGTCGTCGACTTTTTGACCACTACAGGAAGAACTTATAATTTCGTGAAGAATCTGAAATGGCCATATACAAATTAAATTTAAGGAAATCAATATAACTAAGCTTCTATACGATAAGTAATTTTACTATGAATACATTCAATAAATATCGTCGAATTAAAAACATCTACTGACATATTTTACAAAAATGAGATTTTTTATTTTAAATTACTTGCGCTATCTAGCGGAAATTTTATTTTTGTGCCAAAATGCCATTTTTTCACCCATATATTATGGAATATAAAAAAAGGTAGATTGACTTATATTTTCAAAATTAAGTTTTAAGCTATTTAAAATTATTCGCCATCTAGCGGTATTTTTATTTTGAGCATTTTTTCTACTTAACTTTTTTTTACCACTAACTTTTATATGAACAGTTCTTGGTACTCTTTACAAATCTGAAATATGGAGAAAAAATTTATACTAACATTAAAAAAAATTAATTACAAATTTTTGACGGCGATTTTACAAAAAATTATAAATTAAGAATTAATTTTATTTAAAATATGTGGAAGAGTTTACTTATGGCTATAAAATGAGCCATGATAGATATATATAGTACATCTAATATTAAAGTTATCCCAATTTTAAAAAATTATTTTTTTTCGAAAAAAGGTCAAGCAGAGCCACTTTAAGATCCTATATCTCTGGTTCAAATAGAGTTAAGGGGTTAATATTTTGGATTCGTCAATTACAACACTTCATTAATTTATATACCAAATTTTAACAAAATCAAAGATGGCCGGGTTGTAAAGTGATTGATTTGATATGGAATGACTCTCTTATAAATGGGAGGGAGAACAAAAATAAGCTCCCATGGAGATCCTAGGAAACTAAAATGGTTGCCTTGGAACATGGCAACTTGTGTTGATTGCATAACATTTTAAAAGAGGCTCCATGATCATCATTAATTTGAAATTTTTTTTTACCTAAAATTTAAGATACCTAGGGTGCCAATGGTAGAAATATCTATTAATATAAAATGAAAATCTGTAAAATTGTGGTACTTTCTAAATTTTGACCTTTCAGTTGTAATAATTGGATCGATGTTTAGGTTAGAGGAAAATTGGGAGACACAAGTGAAATCCCAAATAAGGTGTTATCCTCTAAACCAAGGGGATTGAGCTCATATGATCTTTTTCCATCAGACAGGGATAAGTGAACGGGTTCCAGGAGGTTTGGATAGTTGGTCAACACTAATTTGTTCAATATTAAAGAGTTAATAGCTCTATAGTGACTGAACCATCCTTTAGAATATAAACAGGTTAGACCATGTTAGCCTTTACTGACGGATTTTTTGCCATATCCTTTACATTTATGGGGTATACATAGGTCACAACCTAGATATGGTCACTATAAGATCCATATTAGATAGCAAAAAACCAAGATTAGCACTAGGGGTATCTTCAAGCTATTTATGGCTAGAGTTGTATCCCAAGTAGTTGAGGTGGAGTGTCTTCATAAAAGCGATTAGTCTTCACCAATTTCTTAAGGTTAGCCAAAAGAGAGAAAGTTTCTTTGTGTTGAGGACTGTGGAAGAAATAGAAGGCATAGCTTACTTATGACCTCCTCGCATTGAAGACGAGAAGAAAAGAAGGCTAACAAAGAAAATAAATTAAGAAAATGTTAAAGCTTTTGAACATAGTTTTTTTTTTATGTTTTAGATGCAAGTTTGAGGGAAAATGAGAATATAAAAAAAAAATTCTATAAAAATATATCTTTTATTTTTTAGAAATCAATATACCTGAAAAATTTTTAATAACTTTTTTTGATAATTAACAAATTTTTTAAACTTCATAAATTACACCAATCTTTTAATTTTAGTTTTCTAAAGAATGAAAATCACAGGATATGAAATTGGATTAATTTCTTAATAAACATGAAGGAAAATATGAATTTAGGGTTTTCACTGCATTCTTATTTGTTTAGATTTTTTTTTCATGATAAATGACTCCAAAATGGAAAATCTATTTATTATTTATTCTATGAATGTATAAAAATATGAAATAACAGAGTTGTTTATGTATCTAGATATAAAAATGTTATATCGATATCTAGATACATGTTTGTTATCTGCATCTAGATAATATTTTAAAGATATGTTATTTTAGATACATTTTGCTATAATTTTATTTTGTTTTTTTATATTATAAATAATAATATTCAAATTTAATTCATTCAATAAATAATATGTCTGGGTTTATTTCATTAAAAAAAACGAGATAAATTTTATTTTACACAATTGAAGATGACAATATGGTAAATTTTATATTATATATTTTTTTATTTATATTAATTTAAAAAATATATCATAATTTTTAGATAAATATTTCTAGACAATCTCTGAAAAGAAATTAAATAATATAATACTCAATTTTTGTGGCACCCCATTGATAATAAAGAATCTTTTAACAACTCTGTTAAAAAATAAACAAATCAATTATAAATTTAATATTTAAAAAATGCATCTAATTGCAACTTCAATGAATTTTGTTGGGTAATAAAAATTGACAAATATAAAATAACTGTTCAAAATATGTGTAGTTGATAGATTCCAAATACTTTCAATAGTGAAATTTGATATTTAAAAAAAATATAAATAAATTTTAAAAAAATTATTAGAAGTCTTAATGTAAATTGTAAAAATATTACCCAAAGTTTTTAAAAATAATATTTCTTTCTCAGCAAGTTTTTATAATACAGCAAGTAAAATAATAAATAACTATATAAGAATGATTTTTAACATAGATGCAAATATGCTTCAACAAATAATATTATTACTATATTTGAGGAAAATATGTAATGTATTTTTATTTAAATGATAAGTTATAACTACACAAACACACAATTATTTAATGATAATAAATTAAATCAGTTTATTGATAAATTTATGAAATATTAGTTGATATTTTAATGATGATGTACCATAGGTCTAGCTAAAATTTTAAGAGAATGTGCTTTTTCCTTTCCCTATATATTTTATTTGGCCTTAGACCCACCCATTTCAGGCCCTAAACCAGGTTACATTTAAAAAATCTATTTATAATTAAAATATTTTTTTCTGAATTTTTGAATTATAGTGAATATTAATTTAAATTTTTTAACAATTGTTTAGTAGCATATAGTATACTTTTTTTGAGGGAAGAGGGGTGTAAGAGATAATTAAAAACAGACATATTTGGAGGGGAATACCTGACTACATTTATGTCATGCATTATTAGTTATATTTATTTTATTATAGTAATATTTTATTATAGTAATATTTTATTAGAGTAAATTCTATAAAATTTAATAAAATGATAGTTCAAACCTATCAGCTTCATCCAAAACCAAAAATTTAACATTATACAATCTGCCAACTTTCATTTCCACCAATAAATGTAACAATCTTCCTGGAGTGGCAATAATGATGTCTGGTAAGTCTTCAGGTGCACTACCATGTAATAGCGAAAATTGACCTTCCATGCTATCACCGCCAAGTATTAAGGCTGACTTTACTACAGTAAATTTTGCAAACTAAAAATTATATTATATCTAATCAGATAAATTCATATTAATAGCATGAAAAGAACAAATAAAGTATAAATAAAAGATAGTAAGATTATTTTATTTATGTATACACTAAAAAAATGCATTTAAGGGTAATAAAATAATATATATTGCAAGAGAATTATGTATCTATTAACTTCTTTAGCAAATTTAAAAGTCTGAACAGCCAATTCTCTGGTAGGTGAAATTATTATTGCCTTTATTGAAGAGCCTATTGTCCCATTAACTTTGTTCCTTGTAAATTCATTTTGATCAATATTTTTATCTCTTTTATTATTTTTTAAAGACTTATTATCATTTATCTTCTGCAAAATTGGCAACAAAAATGCAGCAGTTTTTCCACTTCCAGTTCTGGATGTGGCTATAATATCTTTGCCACTTAATATTAATGGAATTACCTAAATATAACTTTATAATAATATAAAATTTAGAAAAACTTTTCGTTGAATAGGTGTTGGAATTTTATATCCTTTAAATTGAATTCCTTTGTATAATGGCCAGCTAAACCCTGTTACAAATTACATCTTGGTTAAAAAAAGAAAATATTTTTTACCCATGCTTTCAAATCCTATAGATCTATTTTTATTTTTCTGAGAAGCTATTTTGAAAATTATATAATATAAAAAGTATAATAATAATATACATTTATAATTTTTTTTCTTGATCATTTCAAAATTTTACTTAACCTAACTACAAAAGGGTAAATAAATTAAATGGCTCAAATCTCTGAATACATATAATAATGATTTCAAGTAGTAGTGTCACTAGCTCAAGCCCCTTAAAAATTTTAAGAGTTCCCTGAAAATTTTTTATACCCGAAAAAAAATTATTTTGAAAATGTTAGCAAAAAAGAGGTCTTTTGAAAATATTTGAACCCCCTGAAATTGTAAAGGCTAGTGACGCCCCCAATTTCAAGCTATTAAAAATTATCTCATAGTAACCAAGATTTATCCGAATATGGGGGAGGGTTATGAAATTGATTTCCCCAAATCCCTAAATGACCGACCTTGGCCGTTCCCTCCAATGAAAAATTATATTTTGATTTTTTATTTTCATATAATTATTTCAATTTTCCTTTTAATTATATCCACTCAAATAAAGTTATTAAACAGTTGGAAACATTAATTCTAAAATGGATGCCAATGTTTCGATATTATTAATGCCTATTAGTGCTTTAACCAGTGCAGTATTAGCCAGAGTCTACGTGATAGAAAATTTACTGGAGGCAAACCTCCTTCTAAAATTTGCCGTTAAATTATAATGGCCTAAGTATCAAGCTCTTAGTTACATTAAATTATTGTCAAATGCTATTTATATTAATACCAACATTTATAGGAATTAATATCAGAAATTAATTTCGATTTATAGAAATTAATATAATTCTAATATAATAATCAGAGGATTATTATAAATATGGTCCTGAATTTTTTGGAAGTATTAAATTAATAATATAAAGCCCGATTTCTTAAATAGAGCATTGTTGAATTTTTTAATACCAACAAACTTTTTCTTAATTTGTTAGAAATTAAGATCAAACTTCTTCTATATTTCTTCTCATTTGACTTTGCTAGCTGTTGTATCTCTATATTTTAGGTGGCTGTTGCACCATAGACATCTATGTGACCTAATATTTTCCATAAGTTGGTATTCATTTGCCATCTTTGTTGCAATAATTATGCAAATTACAAAACTTTAATGATGGAAAGATTAAAGTTTTACAAATCGTAAAATTTATAAGAATCACGTAATTTGCGGGAATCAGAAATATTCATTTAAGCCAATATTTTAATTTTCCATTAAAAATGGCTTATATTTTTTTTCTCGCTAGATTCGCGCAAATTGCTTGATTCATATATTGGCATTTAGGATATAGCCTAAATAATAATAATTTCTTTATTTGGCGGTTAATTTTTTTTTATTTTAAATGACTGATTGTATGCAATATATAGAAAATTTGATCAATGTTTAGTAATCAGGTCTATAATACAAGATTTATATAAATTTTTAAAGCTTAATCTTCCCTATTTCATCCAAAAATATAAATGGTACCTCCCTAATAATGTAACCCGATTTAGAAATGATTCAAGATAGTTATTGAAGCTGGAGGAGGTAGAAGGGTTTAATTTAGATTTCCCCGTTTGCTAATTTTGATTTGATAGTGGACAGGAGGTAGTGACAGTGAGAAGACAATGTCATAGCCAGGATTTATTCAGGTGAGAATGGGAGGGGGGGGGCAGTTAAATATTTTTCGGGGGTTGGCTCCCAAACTAATATAAATTATTTTATATTCCTATGCTTATCTATTAAAATATATTTTATTAAGACACAAACATACTAGGCAGCACCTCACCATATATAGCTAGCACAAAAGTAGGAAGAATGAATAAATATTATCTAAAACGATAGTTATAATTCATTGAAGGATAGGGCCGTGTTCTGGTTTGTCATATGTATTGACAAGTGTTGATGTTGAGAACCTTGCAATGATAAAATAATAAGTCGATTGTCTTTGGTAATAGTATTTTAGAATGTGAATAAAGTCTTTTATTGTTAACTATTGATATAAAAATTTAATAATGAATATATGTGTTTTTCTCTCAAATAATATGTGTACATATATCATATAAATAACGTTTAATATGTCCAATTTACATGATATCAAAGTTTAATTTAATATATCATAACATTATCTCCTTAAACCGTCATTATCTAAATGGGCATTTATATTAACGCTTAACACAATAAAAAATAAATAACTTTAAATTACTAATATGTAACTTTGAAACTTATTTTTCTTTAGCCCAGGCTAAACATATTTTGAACTAAGACATACTATTTTAGTTGTTTTACGTTTGTACATTGAATAAATATTACTTATATATATTTTTTTTGTATAAATAAATTCTCTTTTACGATCTAAACGAAAACTTTTCCAATAATAGAGTTGTTAAAAAGTCAGACTTGGGTCAACTTTTATAAATGACCTGATTAACAAATTAATATTCTGTAAGCCTTGAGATTTCGCTCAATAATGCCATAAAAAATTGGACCTCTATTTACCGAATCTCATGGCTATATAATCTTATTTTGGCTAAAATCTTAATTGAATCGCTTTTAAAAATCAACTCGAATTTGGCTTTATAACATGCTATCATCAGCACCTATTAAACAGGTGTTTAGTATAATAAAAGCAGTGCTGAGATTGTATATAAGATAAATACGTTAAAACATTGTGTCTAATTATATATTAGTTAATCTGTTATAGTCAGTATAAAGAAAAAAAAGTTATTAGCTAAATAAGTAAAAATTAGCATCAAGCATACACAAAATATCTGGTTTGTGCTAATATTTAAAGATTATCTAGTACTTATTAACTACTCGATGTTTAGCGAATTACAAAAAATCAACTGGGTTATAAACAAAATGAAAACTATTTGATATATTAGCGTGAAGTGAGTCAAGATTGTGAAAACATAAATTCTGAAAACTTATATAAACCATTAAGTAGTACTTAATTATTAAATTTTATTGCTTTAATCTTTTTGGTAGATGATGGGGAAGAAATCACTGGTAAAATGAGAAAATAAAAAAATGGCATGCTAGAATAGAGAATATGGAAGTTCTAAAATAATTGGTTTGCGAAGATGTTATAGCCTAACTTATTAATTCTTTAATCGATTTTACCAACCACAAAAAGATAACTAAGTTATAATCTAAATAAAAACTCAAATCTCAATTTAAGCTTGAAGTTAAACAAATTTCTCAAAGCGTGTTAATTCAGGGCTGCAACAATTCGGCGCGGCGACAATTAGGCGTGGCTTAAAAATTATTCTAATAATATAAAAACAATATTAGTCTATTTAATTAACCCTATCGTCCTTTCCCCCATTTGCTGGATAATGAGTAAATACCAGTTAGTAATCATAACAGGATTGTGAGAGGTTATATTCAAAGCGCATAAAAATGAAAATTACTTTTCATTCAAAATTTCTACGGTATAGTTAAACCTCAAAGAAATCCCGGACATAAATGTCCTGGACTTTTATCCTTTATGAAGCTTAAAATATTTTCATTCCAAACTATTGTTCTTTGAAAATAATTAAGATAGAAAGCTTTTGATTCTGTTCGAAACTAACACAACAACCGTCAAACTTTAATTAATAGCTAAATATGGTTATATCCCATTGCTGTTGATAAATTAAATGTTCAATTTTAAACTAATCCGCTTCGCTTATATTAAATTATACATTAACAGATTTATTATATCTTTAATATATAAATTCACAAAGTTGTTAATCACATGGAATTGAATGCGGAAATTATATATATAATTGATGCTATGGGTGTTAGGTAGTAAACCTCACCCAATATTATATCAATCATAAATATATATAATCATTATAACCATATCTAATTGCCTAATATAATACTTCATAATGTATAAATTATATATTACAATATATTCCTACATTACTATCCAAGTTCACTTTTATTGAATTATCAATTATAACTGACAAAAATGTGTGAATAATAAAGGTATAAAATATTGATATTTTTATTTATAGAAGGAATATTCGATAGAATGTATTCTAAAAGAGAACAGATCTTTGTTGAAACAATTGGTCATCCTGTCGTTATATTGAATGATCTGATATAAGATAATCATGAGTAAAATACTCATTCCTCAAATGTAGTGATTTTTGAACGTCACAATTTTTAATAGCCATTATATTGCTATCAAAGCGATCTATAGCATCTCACAGTTGAGGGATTGATATATAAATCTTTAATAATTTTCACTCTTACTTTATAAAAGTGTCAAATTTTCTCAGATATTACTCTCCCTAATACCATTAGAGCAATAATGTAAATATATATTAGTTTAAAATATTTACTATCCGATAATATAATTATTTTTAAAAAAAGATAAAAATATTGCCAGATAAAGCATTTGTGTCGCGAGCAGTGTTCCGACCTAGATTTTTGGCAAATATACAAATAAAATCAAGATAACATCTATAAATTAATTATGGCTAACAATATCTTATAGTTTTAATCAGGGATGTGAACCCGAACTCGGACCCTGAACTCTCGTATTTTGGCTGTACCCGAACCCGGACCCTTTTTAAAAGTAGAAGATCCAAGGGTTCTAAATGTCATAAAAAATTTTTAAAATAAAAATATTTTTTTAAAAAAAATATATAAATTTTTTTAAATTTTATTAACTTTTTTTTGTGGAATCATTTATTTTATCTTGCGTTTTTCTTTCAATTTTCTTCCTGGACTTCCATTTTATTTAGAGATTGATATCATAAATTATTTTCTAGTGTTGGTAATAATATTTTATTATGTAAATTAATATGCTATGTTATAGAAATAAGTTGATTATTTTGAAAGTGGTTATTTTGTAGTGCAAGGAATAATATTTTAATTTAAATGATAGTGCACAACACGTTGGTCCTCAATTTGTATGATGCTAGAACGATTATTAAGCTTGAAAGATCTCTGTAATGATTTTATTGAGCATGTATAGCATTTTGGCGGAAGATGATTGGTGACAAATAAAGGACCTCACTGGTGTATTAGTTCCTTTAAAAATAACAATATTAAGATTACAATCAGAATTATGTTTATTTTATTTTTATGACATATGGATTAGATGCCGATTAGATTTAGAAAAATTTACAGTCCTTTTTATATGAAATATTAGAAAACATGAAAATTCGAGCAACAATATTTTCAAAATAGTGTTGTATACGCTTCTATATATTTAGATCCTCGATATCAAGTTTTATTGAGTATTGAGCAAAAACAAATGGCTAAAGACCATCTTAAGGATTTATGGCATACGCAAAACTCTATTATTTACAATATATTAGAGGTAAGACAATATCTACTGGTTGTAGTGTAATAATAATTATGTTAGCAACATCTGATCTTAAAATTTTACTTTTAGATAGAGAAAAAAAAATCAAATTATCAGATAGAAAGGAGGATCAAAAAATGCCTATTGCATCTTTAATAGAAAAGTTCTAAGAAGTTAAGAGAATAAATAAGGATACAAAATATTTTAAAATTCTGGAAGAAAATTCTTCAATATATCCAAAATTATATAACTTATCTAGAATCTTCATGGTTGTACCGGCGACACAAATACAATAATTATAAAGATAACTATCTATTTTAGGTAAGGGATGAACATGAATTTTCATCGTTGCAATATATATTGTCTAATTTACATGGAAATCTCCAGGATAATATTTTAGAAGATATTATGATTATGCGATTGAATAAAACATTTAAAATATAAATTACATTTATGAATTATAATAAGTATATATTGAAGTATAATAATAAATGAATGAAAAAAATCTTATTTTAAGTCATTATTTTTATGTTCCCTGAACTCGGTCTCTTTTTTAAATTTTATTCCTGTACCCGAACCCGGACCTGGACCTTTTTTTGTCGAAGGGTTCATATCCCTGGTTTTACTGGATAATAAATGGGCGTAATATTATATATAATAATATTAATATATAAAATTAACATAACTATTCATAATGCAAGAAGCTATTCTATAACTAAGAATCATTATTTATTATGATTGTTGTGCATAACATATTAATAGGTTATAAAAATATAAAGATGAAATAACCAAATTAAGAAAAATTCATAATATTCCCTTTTAAAACGATAAAAGATCATTCCATCATGGTAAAAACAGAGTCTTTTGTTCAAGAACCAAATAGAGTTGATGTTCTGGAAGAAACCTCGGGCAACATTACGAAAATCGGGCCCGAAATTCCTCGGATCACATTAGAAGCTCTACTTAGCGACGAAATTCCATCTTCTCACCTAAGAAGATTATGGGTTGACCCACCGCAATGCAGGATTTTCAGAAACGCAATGATAGATTTGTTGAACATTTATCAAGCCCGGGGCTTGAAAGACGAGATAATAGATCATTTCAGAACTCTGACTATCAAATGTTGTGTTTATTAAATGAATAATATCAAGAAAATAATTTTTTTTTTTAAAAAATGTTTTTATATAATATTACATAATAAAGGAAATATTTGTCAAATATATTTTACAGATAATTTTTAATTAGGAGTTTTTGTAGCACGAAATAAAAATTATAATTTATAATTTCTCAAAGAAAAATAAATCTTTATCTAAGATTATGATGATGACACATTAACAAACATTTTTTTATTTCATTTATTTTTTTTCATTAACAATATCCTTTTAGTTTGAAGCAGATTTTTTTCTTCTTTTTTTTAAAAAATATAATTAATTCTTTTTTTCCCCATTGTTTTTTATTAAAATATAAATAAGTATACACCCGATTTCAAGGTAATTAAGAAATTTAAATTCAATTTTTAAAAAAAATTTTTTTTTTCTTAATATTTTTTTAAAAGGTGAAAAACTATAAACATGTTTGATCTTGAACTTGAATTTATAAATAAGTCTGATATTAGTAGATGAAAAGATTACTAATTTTTGTAATAATTTATCATAAAACAGTGACCGAAAATGGGCTAAATAAGACCAGGTTGAAACGAATAGTTCACATAGAGCACTCTTAACTTATAGGCTTTCTCTATTTTTGTCTTGCGGTTCTGAATATTTTTGGAATTATAATAATAAAAAAATTTGGAACTGAGCCCTAATAATTTAATTTTAATTATTCTAAAAATATTTTTCATAATATCTCATTTTTATCACTTGTCAATTAACATCTTTTTTTTATCAAAATTTTGTATTTTGTCAAAATAATAATATATTTCTTTTATGTTAGTATTAGAAAATTATCTTTTTTCGGATAAATAAAAGAATTAAAAAATAATATTAAAAAACAAAACAAATCAAATATTATATTATATTAATTTCTCATATAAATCGAGATGAATTATTATTTACATCAAAAATGATTATTTTTGTTATTACTTATATTTTATTTATAATTATACATACTATCATTTCTTTTATAAAAATTTAAGTTTAGTTATTTAGAGTTTTATTTAAATATGAAGAAAATGTTAGCTCTTGGATAATAAACAAATATAAGATTCAAGACTTTGTTGGAATATTTTTTAAAAAAATTCGTGAAATTTTTGAAAATTTAAATAATTCAAAAAATATATTTATTAATTAATAAATTCCTATTTTTTGTGATCTAACAATTAATATACTCGTACACCAATAATTTTAAATATAGTCATATTTCATTTTCCTTAAAAAATGGGTGACATTAATATTCATTACTTTACCATAGCATCAATTATATGCATATTCACATATTACCACCGTGCAGGTTAAATGTTTGTAAAAATCCTTTTATCTTTATTTTAAGAAATATTGAAGGAAATCTATAAATATATCTTTAATTATGTTATATAAATATAAAACAGTAAAACTTCCTCAAAATTAGAAAAGAAGGGCTGTTCCTAACAATGCGGTCAATGTGTAAAAGTTTTGTTAATTTTTAATGTCATCGTATAAAATCAAAGGAACTCTCCAGAGTTTACTTTCTAATATGTATTTTATAAATGGTTGAGATAAATAATGGTAATTTTAAGTTAAAAGGAATATTTTAAAGATGAGAGTAACCAACATTTTTCCAAGGGGAATATTCAAGTGGGCTTCGCCTTCCATACTCCTCTTTGACCCCTTTTGGTTGGGTTAAACTTATATTTTAACATTAATAATTAATTTTCGCATATATGGTTAGTTTATTAAAATTCCTGAACAATGTGAATTAGAAGTAATAATTATTTTAAAAAGCAATTGTTGTAATTACGAATTTTATTTATTTTTTGGGGTAGGATAATAATATGATTCAGTGCTATTAGTTAATGGTACACTTCAACTATCGATACCTTAATAGCAACTTCTAAAAAGTCTATACATATAAATATGAATATATTGGAATTAGGGGAAATGTGTGTTAAATGGGCATAGGCGTAGACTGGCCACCTATCTTTGGCTTTTTATCTATTGAATTAATTTCTCTCAAAATTGGTTCATTTAATAACTTCTTAACTCTCAAGCATAAAAGATCTTTTGGTGTAAAGATGTATTTTTATATCTAATTGTCGGAATTTTATAGGGTGGATATTCTACATATTCTGAAGTCAAGTGAGACTTTTTCCAATTTAAAAAATTGTCCTAGGTAAATGATTTAATTCGAGAGATTCTAAATCCCCACTAATTCCACAGATAGAGTCTTTGTATCAAATTTTATCATTCATAATTCGCACGTCAAATCCTTTTTTTTTCAAAAATATACTTAATATTATAAATAAATATTAATTTACTTTTTACTCATCATACTTATTTAGATGCTCACCGTATTCAAAAACGTAATAATTTCGTAAGCAATGAAAATACCAACAATAACTATGTAATACCCAATAACCAGAGAAAACAAAAAGATGGATATGCCATGTTACCTTTGGACGTAAATCCTGCAGGAACGATGGAAAGATACTTGGGCCAGACTGCCCATTTCAAATGCTCTTCCAAAAAGGGACAAGAAGCAGTTATTTGGTCTAAGAGAAACGGGTCTTTACCTCCACAGGCTCAAATCAATGGAGGGAATCTTGTGATACCCAATTTACAACAAGATGATTTTGGTTTGTATGATTGCAGTATGTCTGATCCAAAAATTATGCCACTCACCATTATGTTAAGGCAACTTAGCGCGGGTAGTCAGACTTCGGAATATGATAGTTCTCAGAGTTTGTTATTTATATTATCACTGTAAATTTATCTAATTTAATTTGAGCGTTTCTTATAATTCCCCGATAAATCATTTGGATAATTTTATCAACCCGTAAAATTAATTAGTCAAAAACTATATATATATAGTTTTTTTTATTTATTAGAGGTCCTTGTGAGCGAAAGGTATTGACAATAAATTAGTCACCCCAAATTTGGGATTCTAATAAACCCTCAATTTTTTCAGAAAAGTTTATTTATTATTTTTCCAATATAGAGATAATTATTAGGTAAATAAATATTTATATACATTTTTTGAACTCATAGAAGTTAATTAATTAAATGAAGACGTGGCCAAAATTTTATTTTATAAAATATAATTAAAATATTTAATATAATAATAAAGATGAAGAAAATCATTATCAGCCCAAATATTTCGTTCAACAACCATACTCTTATCCCGTACAAGAAACCATTGATCAGTTGCAAGATTCTTCCAGAAGGCCTCTTACTCGAGATGAAGCTTACCTTCAAGGAACGATTTATGATCCCAATTTTCAATGGCCAAGTCAGGCTATTGACCCTACGAAATACATAAAGCCTCCAGGGTATCCTAAATCTGGATACACATATTCCCACACTCCAGGACAATATTCTTATCCTGCAAAGTACCAAAAATTTTATCCGGGGAAATACATAAAATCTCCTCCTTATCTGACGACTAGCCCCAGGACAATACCAGTTACTCCCAGACCGATTAGGCCAGCTAAACCGAGGCCGATTCGACCAGGTTTTAACATTAATTATATCTTTTAATAAATAATGACATAATTTCATATTTGATATTTATTTTAAAAAAATGTAATGTTGTAAAAAGTCACTAGTTACATCCTAAAATAGATAACTAGTTAGATCTATAGTTATATCTTTTTCAGAAGTTACATTTAAATTTCAAAAGACTAATTACATTGCACAAAGGAAATTAAATGATAACACAATTTAAATAAAGAAATAATTGTTTTTAATTTATGATAAAAATGCTCTTACTTTTCTCTATAAACTTCCCAAGACTAAACAAACGTTCTCAAGAGCGCTTTATGTAAATGAGAAGTTATATTTATTATACATGTTAGTGTCAATGAGTTTTTTTCAGTAAATGTGTTATTTTTTCAACTTTAAATCATTTTTGAGTGCTTTTTTAAATTACAAAAATCAAACTTTACAGGAAATCTATTCTAGCATTTTTGGAACACCTCTTCTATGAACTTCAGATAATTTAGCCTTTAACTCTTTGGTCATTTAAAATATGTATAAAAATTTATAGAAAAACTAATGTAAATTATATTAATTATTAAGTTCAAAACCAAAAATCAAGGCTTTCTAGAAATGCTAGAATATATTTCTAGCAATATTATCTTTTCTAAATTTTAAAAAAAGAACGATTTTAAGTTAAATTTTATTAAACATATTTTAAAAAGTAACTTATGAAGTATCTAATTACTTTTGTTGTTACATTCCAAAAATATAACTAAAATATTATTTAAAAGATGGATATAATATTGAATTGTATTTTATACATTGCAAAGTTAAAAAGTAACTTATGAAGTATCTAATTACTTTTGTTGTTACATTCCAAAAATATAACTAAAATATTATTTAAAAGATGGATATAATATTGAATTGTATTTTATACATTGCAAAGTTTTTCGTCAGTTTTTCCCAAGGCACTAAAGAAAACAATTACAAATATAATTAAGAAACACCCAAATTCCCGAAGAAGAGGAAACGACAGCAGCAATTATAACTAATTTTATTATCTAGTAAATTGGCAACGCAGTTGTTCATAATGCGGTGGTCCAAGAATTTCACCAATTTTTTTGTGGAACCTATATTTTAGATTATGCCTGGATAAAAAAAACCTAAATATATAAGCCTACCCTGCGCGGAAAATAATTAAATTACAATATCTGGATTTATAAGAAGCAATTCGATAAAAATTGTAAGGGAAGATAATTTCAAAACGAAGTGGTGTTTACCAAGTGTTGATTCATTCATTTTCTTTACGTTTGCGTTTTCTCAGATCTTAATTCAAATAAATATTCAATTTTAATAATTCAACATTGACCAAATGTTGTGAAAGTAAAATATGATTATGGATCACAAATTATATATATAATTTATTAAAAATAAGCTTTTCAACTATTTAATTAATTAAATAAAATTTTATAGATTTGAGAAAGGAATAAATTATCAATATTTTCTGATAATACAATCAAATTTGTTTAACTAGTGTCAACCTTAAATATTGTTAAATAAACACAAATTGGCAATTAATTTTATTATAGTAGAAGAGGCCGAGATGGTATGATAAACGGGGTAAAAAAGTAAATGACTATAACTTTTTAACTATTTTGGTAAATGTATCCTAATTGGTTGAGATATGAGTCCAACTCAAGAAAATTGCCGTTATAACCACTGATTTAAATTTCTATTCGTTTATTTATAATCATATGACTGCCAGATTTAACAGGTAGTTAATAAAAATGATTAAATTTTATTAAAAATTTAATATGTCTAAACCCCAACCCGTATCTCTCAAAACTTTAATTATTCCTAACCCATATCTCTCTAACCTACTCCTTACTTCAGGTATTTTTAAAATATATTACATCCAATTAAAAAAATCTCCACGGTTGAACATTCCTTGAGTTTACTATTATCATATTTTTATTCTATCGGTAATATTTATCGCTAAGTGTCTAATGTATATTTGACCAATATTGGCCAAAAACAGTTTTCAGACCATATTTTTAAATAAAATATTTTTTTATTAGTTCAACGAGAAGTTTTGCAGGCTTGTAACTTTGGAATAAAGTTTCAGGAGGTAAAATTTCGGAATACTCAATTTATACATACTATGATTGAGTATTATTACAAATTTTACTAAATGAGTATAAATTTGTAAGCTTGACATTATTTGGTAATATTTATGTTAATTATAGATATTTTTATTTGTTAAAAATTATTATATAAGATTTGGCTAGACAATACAACCCCTCCCAACTGGGAAACTAATGTCATGGCAGGGGATAGATCCATTTTAAAAAGTCTATTCTAAAAAGAGGTTATAAAATGTCTAACATTATCACATCATAGCAGTGTGATTTTTTTAAACAAAATTCAAAAAAAGTAAAAACACGGATATTTTGGAAATAGTATCCATGGTCATAGACCGGGGAGGGGCTATCGCTTCTGAAATTTACCTGTTCTTGCAAATATCATTTTAGGCTATCAATACCACAAAAATGTATACAATATATCACTATAAACAAGATATGGAAACAAAAATAATATAAGTTATAGTTTTTTAAAATAAAACGACTATCGAATTTTTTTTAAAAGAAATATTAATTTAAAAAAATGATATTTATTTTTATAAAAATATAACATAGCCAGAGATCTATAATAAAAATTATTATTTCCCTTAGAAAAATCTCCTCGACTACATCTATGCCTGAGGTATTGAATGGACACATTCAAATTGTGATATAAATAAATCTCTTAACATACATCCTTTATCATATGGATTAACAGTAAAATATTTTGTCTTTGAAGGGTCAAGGTTGCATCCTTGCTAGTCTTTATTTTTGTTTTTAATTCTGAATTCTATTCAGAAAGGCAGCCTGGACCCTTTTTTATATATATTTTGACATAAAAGATAATAATATATTTAAAATACACTTTAAAAAGGTAAACTTATTCCAATATTTTTTAGTCAAAAAATTACTATTCAAGAATGCCATAAAAAGAAGACGGGCAATCACGCAGACTAACTCTTTTAGTATCTTGATATCATTTTGCAACCATTTAAATTAATATCAAATAACTACATAAGGGTTTAATTCATTCAATATATACCATTGACGTAACCCCGGGAAGGGAAGGGGGGGGGGGAGATTTACCCCTTTGAATTTGCTTGTTTTTGAAAATATAATTAGATTAAAAAACTCTCCGGCAATCTCCCCCCCCCTTCCTCTTACCAAAATATGAGTAAAATATGTCATTATAAGCAATATTTTTTTAAAATAGTATATGAGTTAATATTTTTTATAAAATGATGCTGCCCCGCGTGCTTATATTCAAATATTCATCGGTTAAGCAATGGAGTATCTAAGCAAAATGACCATCTTAGAAAATGTATTAAACCATATGTTTATTTCAAAAAATAAACCGCAAGTCATACAAGCCTCAAAAACTCAAAATAAGCTTGATATCGTGTGAAAAATGGCATATCAATACGGAGCCTTTGAAATTTTTGAGAAAAGTTATTTTTTAAAAAAGAATGTACAATAAAATGTAATCCAGCCAAAGGCCTTCAAAATGGGGGCCTAAAACTATTCAATAAAATTTATAGCGAAAAAAGCGACCCATCCACATTACATAAATTCTGGATACGTCGATAATTATTATTTTATTCTTAGTTAATAATAAATAAATTTTTGAGTGAGGGAATCGATCTTTTTACTACTCTAAGACCAATTTCAACTATTAAATTGTATTTAACCATAGAAATTATGAAGTCTAGAGAAGTTTCCATTTTGCATATTAAATCGATCCTTAGAGAATATAATATAGTGGAAGATTTTGAGAAAAACTGGCATATTTTAATGGATCGAGTAATGCCACGCCATTTTTTTTAATGACAAGGCTCATAATTTAATTTTTTTAGCGAACATGCGTATTGCCTTAGTCAAGTCATGTAATATCTTAAATAATTGTTTGAAATTTATAGTAAAAATATCCTACATATGCTGGTTATGCATTTCATGTTTGAGATCCCACCTTGGTCTACCCTATGCATAAATATCTCATTTAATGGGGAAAAAATCCGGGAAATTTGTGTTGATTACACATCAATTGAACAAATGCATATTATTATATAAATAGCTAGATCAAAATTCCATTCCAAAAATATACATGACCAAGAAAGGTTGGCTTTGCATATAAACAATATTACATTTTAAAAAAGGTTGGATAAATATTTATAAAAATACTAGCTAATAACCCGTCAAGAATGACAGGATTGAAAGGTAATATGCTTTATATTAAAATTTAGGAGAAAAAGAGGTAAAATTGTTGTAATGTAACCCGTGAGCATACCCTTTATTACATATGACTACTAATCAGTCACATAGTGGATTTTCTGACCTATTTTACCGCGTAAATTATTTTGGCGCGAAAATTTTAATTATGTATTATAAGTAACATTCCTTTTATATAAAAATCATTTTTTAAAATAGAAATTCTAATATTTATTTAAAGTGCGAGTATTTAATGTCAGCTGTTCCCTATATTTCAGTACCCAATGTTTCCACCATAGTATTCCGCGATGTGCTCGCAATTTTTTTGCAGAATCCTTTAACAAGTTAATCCTATTAACAGTAAACAATCCTGCAAACCTATCAAATTGGAAAAACTTACTAAGTTTTACCAATTCCACCCTTAAAATTCCCGATAATAAAAATATCCAATTATATAAACACATTAAAACTTCAATATCTCTTTTCAACCCTGACTCTATTCCAACCCCTACACCTCAGACCCACCAATCCAATCCACTCCCTATCGCCCTTAAGGCTAATATAGTTTCAAACAAAATAAACAGCCTTAATATCAATTCAGCCCTTCGGGTCTTGACCTCTGAAGATGCCTTAGCTCCAAACAGAGTCCCACTCTAGAAGCCTTGTTTCTAAAACACCCTTCATGTGTTCAGAATTTGCCTTCTCAAGCCAAAACGATCATATAGCCCCTGAAATCAACTCTGATGAGACGATCAAAGCTGTCAGATCTTTCAAAAGAGACTCTTCTGGAGGCCTAGATGGCATTCGTGCTATTTTCATCCAAGACATTTTAAAACCTAATATATCATGCAAAGCCCTCTTGCAGAACCTTACCAGGTTATTAAATTTAATTCTTAATGGGCCCCTCCCACCACCTATCATTCCTATTCTCTTTGGTGCCCGCCTTATAGCCCTCAAAAAAAAGGATGGAGGTATCCGCTTAATTGCTGTTGGGTCGTTCTTCAGAAGGACTATTTCTAAGATCATTGCCTCACGAATAAAGGAACTTTCTTCATTCCTGTATCCTCTTCAGCTAGGGTTTGGTGTACCTGGAGACTCTGAAATTTCGGCCCATCTTGCTCGCATTACCCTCTCAAATAATATTCCAGACTATGTCGTTTTAAAACTTGATTTCAAAAATGCTTTCAATACAATCAAACGTCAATATTTCGTTCCCTTGTTTTGCCACAAATATTATCAATGTTCTACATACATTCTCAACAGTTACTCTAGCCCTACTTTTTTAAAGTACAATAACAACATAATAAAATCTCAGGAGGGAATCCAACAACGAGACCCCTTAGGCCTAGCCCTTTTTTGTAGGGATACACAAGATAATCCTGGATATTCAATCTATATCTAACCTCACTTTAAATTCCTGGTACCTCGATGACGGTATAGTCTCCGGCAACCTCTCCACAGTCATGTCCAATCCCCCCATCATCGAAAATCTTTCTTATATAACAGGACTATCTCTCAACCTCCCCAAATGTGAGATTTGCTTCTTAAGCCCTACAACATCCATCCCTTCAGAAACCACATTCCTCGCCATCAACAGAGAAGACACATTTTGGATCACCGATAGGGGGTGAAAAAGCAATCGAAACTTTTTTAAACAAATCCCTCGACAATTTATCTAATTTAAACTCACTTTTTAATTTCCTACCCGCTCATCAATCCTTTTTTTTAATCAAAAACTATTTTAATATACCCAAAATCCTCTATGCCCTGAGATCCTCACCGATCTTCAAATGCAGCCATTTGCTAGTTTCCCACGAAACCCAAATTAAGGATCTCCTAGAAAACATATTAAACCTTAAATTCTCCAATTAATCTTGGCTCCAGGCCACCCTTCCATGCAAGTCTGGTGGTATTGGTATCCGATCCCTCTTACAACTTTCCCTCTCAGCCTTTATCTCATCTCGTCTTGCTGCTCAATCTATTATCGACAATGGATCTACTCCTTCAGATACTGACCTCTCACAGACCCTCACCTTTTGGGACAACTGCTCTCCCACCCTTAGCCGTCCCGCTTCCAGTACCCAAAAAGACTGGGATGCTCCTCTGATCGCCCGTTCCGTTGAATATCTTATTTTGAACAGGCCCTTTGAGGAAAATCCCAATAATTTGGTACTAAATGTAAACTCTGGCTACGAATGGTTGGAAGCCATCCCCAGCGCCAATCTTGGCCTCCTCATGACTGGCGAACAGCTACGTATATCTATAGCCCTCCGCCTCGGCTGTAATGTCGTAGTTCCTTCCATCTGCATCGACTGTGGTCAGCCCATTGAATCGAAGGCACATCCCTTGCACTGCAAGTTCTCCCGTGGACGACAACCTCGTCATAAATCTATCAATAACATTTTACTAGCCGCCCTCAAAAAAGTTAATATCCCATCTACCCTCGAACCAGTGGGTCTTTCAAACGAATACGCCATACGCCCGGATGGTATTTCTCTCATACCCTGGTCTAATGGTCTTCCGCTAACATGGGATTACACTTGCGTTGATTTTGCAGCCAAGTCTAACCTCTCATTTTCTGCTATCGAAAAGGCAGAAATCCTTAAAAAGAATAAATACGCTGGCCTCGCCAACACTATGTTCATTCCTATCGTTACCAATACCCTAGGCATGTTTGGAAACGAGGCCCTCAATTTCATTAAAATCATAGGAAAAAAAATGAGACAGATCTCAGAGGACCCCAATGAAGGATTTTAACTTCGCCAGCAGATTTCCCTGGAAATTTGCCGGTCTAATTTTTTAAGTATTCACTCTTCTCTTGGATGATATATACCCCACTTTTTTTAAATATATATATATATATTTTTTATAATCCTTTTTAATGACTTCATAGATTATATATTTATTTTTTTTATATTTAATTTTTAATATATCCATTTTAATATATATTTTTTAATCCTCTGTAATTTAATGATTATGAATAAATAATAAAGTTTAAAATAAAAAAAGAAAAAAAGAAAAAAAAAGAAGACATTTTTATTAAATTACAATAAATATCAAAATTTTATGAAAGTTGCATGGGACTTGGTTTTTTGATCAGGCCTGGCTATGTTTGCAAAAAAAAATTTTCAGGCCAATGTCTAACCCATAATTAAAATTAAAAAATTTTCAAGCATTTCTATTTTATATTTTACACAATATGATATCTATCACAAATCTAAATTTTATTCTAAATATAAAATTAAATTTAAGACATTCAATAAAAATAAATGGCAAACTTTTATGAAAGTGGAAAATTTTATGAAAGTTGCATGGGACTTGGTTTTTTGATCAGGCCTGGCTATGTCTACAAAAAAAAAATTTCAGGCCAATGTATAACCCATAATATTTAAAATTCAAAAATCTTAAAGCATCTCTATTTTAAATTTTATCCAATATGATTTCCATCACAAATTTAAATTTTGATATTTTTAATACATGCTCACGGTATACATTGCAACAATTTTACATCTTTTTCTCCTAAATTTTAATATTTATATAAAATTTATTAATAAAGTATATTTAGTACCATGCACACAAACGAAATAATTTACTTCAACCCCGTCAGCTAGTATGGTAATAAGCGGCAGAATTTTAAAAATATCAGCTATTAATTAATATATATAATTAATATTTTCAATTTAATTATATTCAAGTTGGTGCATGCTTAAAACATGCGCTTTAAAACGGGAGGTTTGTGGTTCGACTCACGTAGAGAACAAAAAAATAACATTACACTATATAGTCTCCTTAAATTTTAAATACATTAGGAAGATACGAAAACGATCATGTTTTGATTATGGAGATTATATATATTAGATTCGTTATTTGAGCCAATAGATATGTTATTTCCAGTTACTAGGAGTTAAGTGGTAACTGAGTTAATTTTTTAGAAATATAATTTAATTATTAATTAGATAACTAGTAAAAATATCTTTTAGTTCAATTTTTTGAAATGAATTATGATTATTTTAGTTTGGTTAAAAAGAAAATGGTTTCAAAAATTTATTTTTTATAATACCATGTCTAATTGAATGTTACCAACAAACGTAATATTGAAAAAACCCGGAATAAGAATGCGGATTAAAAAATAGGTAATTAACTATTGTATTTACATGATTTATCTAAATTTTTGTTAGAAATTATTTATATTTTATGTTATAGCCCTAACATACATGTTATGAGGTCATTATAAATATCTCTTATTTAACATTCCTGGGTTTTATCACTAATTTTTAGCAGATGGCACTGGCACTTTACACTATTAGTTTATTATTTTATTCGGTAACAAGGAATCCCAAAGATCTCTTAGCAAAATTTGTTTAGAAAATGGTACAATAATTTATTTAAAAAGATTTAAGGCCATTTATAATTCCATTATAATTAAAAAATATTATTGAAATATAAAAAATATTTTATTTAGCTTTTCTTGAAATTAAATTGCACTACAAACGCATAATCCAGTAATAGAGACTATTTTAGTTTGTAAATAATATAAATATATTGTTTACAATTGATAGATATTCCTAATTAAAATGGATATCAAATCCAAATTATATAAATTTATGTTCCTACATTATAATATAAAACTTGGTTATTAATCTATATAGGACACATGGATATGGTGGCCAAACCGCCAGGAGCCATGGCAACATTAGGGTCAGAGGTAGAATTTATATGTACATGCCTTGTCATTCCCCAAAACAGTTACTGCTATGTTACATGGACTCGCCCATCGAATATTAAAATGTCCCCTAATGCGGAGATTATTGAAGGCAACTTAACTATTCGTAATATAAGTAATGAAGATTATGGATTGTATAAATGTGTGTCTAAGAATGGAAAGCAAACAATCACTGTAGTTTTAGAGAAACTGCCAAGTAATGATAATATGATTTATTTAACGGTATGAATGAATATATTTTACAAAAATTAGGAAAAGGAGCTCAAGTTATAAGTGGAGAAGGAGTCCCTCAATTGAGTGGAGAAATTTTGTCAACTGAGAATACATCTCCAACCAAGGAAACAACTACTCTCTCCAAAGGTTATAGGAACTTTTAGATAATTAATTGATTTTAATAAATTATCGATATAAATTATAACAAAAAATTAATTTTTAAAATTTATAGCTATAAAAATTAAACTATAAAATTTTACAGAGGTTACAACAAGCTCTGCTGAGGAAAATCAAGCTATATCCACCGCGCTCTCAACAGATGCTTCAACCATAAATCTTGAAATGGCTACTACGATAGTAACAGAAATTGTTACCACAGAAATGAATGTGACAAAAGTTATAATTTCTGCGGAGGCTATAACTGTAGCAGCGGAAACCTCCACCATATTAATAACTACAACAGAGGCTTCTACTACAGGTGGCGTTGCTACAGATGAAACAATGGGGGCTTCAGAGATTACACCTACTACAAAAATGGTCACTACGGGAGAGACGACAACTATACTAAACGTTGTAGTGCCTGTGGAGGATGTGAGTTCGGGTCCTGAGGCTACTTCTATTATAACTGAGATCGTTACCACTGAAGTTAGTGAAACAAATGTTACTACTCCCGCCGTAGTGGTGACTACTATAACTGAGGGAGAAGCGAGTCCTGCAGATGCTGCCACGGCAGGGGAATCCCCCACTACATTCGCGATTCCAGCAGTGGCATCAGAGATCACAACTAGTGAGGGCTTAGTTACTACAGGAGAGACTACAACTATATTAAATGTTGTAGTGCCGGTGGAAGATCTGACAAGCTCGGGATTTGAGGCTACCACTATTATAACCGAGATCGTTGCCACTGTAGCTCTTGGAACAGAGGTAACTACTCCCGCCATAGTGGTGACTACTATAACTGAAGGAGAGGCGAGTCTATCAAAAGCTGCTACTGTGGTAGGAGAATCCTCCACTACATCTGCGACTCCAACAGTGTCTTCAGAGATCACAACTATTGAGGGATTGATTACTACGGGAGAGACGACAACCATATTAAACGTTATAGTGCCTGTGGAGAATGTGACAAGCAGGGGTCTTGAGTCTACTACTATTATAACCGAGATCGTTACCACTGAAGTTAGTGGAACAGAGGTTACTTCTCCCGCCGTAGTGGTGACAACTGTAACTGAGGGAGAGGCGAGTCCTGCAGAGGCTGCTACTGTGGCAGGGGAATCCTCCACTATATCCGCGACTCCAACTGTGGCTTCAGTGATCACAACTACTGAGGGATTGGTTACTGCGAGAGAGACGACAACTATATTAAACATTGTATCGCCTGTGGAGGATGTGGCAAGCCCGGGTCTTGAGGCTACTACTATTATAACCGAGATCGTTACCACTGAAGTTAGTGGAACAGAGATTACTACTGCCTCCATAATGGCTACTGTAACTGAGGGAGAGGCGAGTCCTGCAGAGGTTCCTACTGTGGCAGGGAATACCTCCACTACATCTGCGACAACAGTGGCTTTAGAGGTGACAACTACTGAACAATTGCTTACTACTGGAGAGACGGCACTTGTATCAAGCGTTGTAGTGCCTGTGGAAGATGCTGCAAGTCCAGGTCTCGAGGCCACAACTATTATAACAGAGATTGTTACCTCGGAAGTTAGTGGAATAGAGGTAAACACTCCCACTGTAATAGAAGCTTCTACTATAAGAGTAATTACAACTGTCGAAGCAACTCAGGTTGCAGAGATCACTACTATTGAGGGATTAGTTACTACAGGAGAGACTACACCGGGTATTGAAGCTACTACTATTATAACAGAGATTGTTACCACTGAAGTTAGTGGAACAGAGGGAACTACTATAGAGGTTACTCCTGCCAGAGAAGGTACCACTGTTGAGAGCACCCAAATTACATTAGAATCCACTCAAAGTATATGATTTATTTAAATATTTTAACCAATATTTTTTAAATTGATTAATTTTAAACTATGTTATTAAAATTAACAAATAAAATTAAAAGTATCGCATTACAAAGAGATTAATAATCAAATGAGAAAGGAAAAAATGTTAGGTGATAAAGTGATTTTTTTCATAAAAATGCTCACTTCCATTTCTAATATTAATTTTGAATAAATGAAATAAATAATAATCCTTTTAATCCAAATAATATCTAGGAAAAATTAGATTTATTATCATCAAATCAAAATATCAATTCAACTATTAAAAATAATATCGTAATTTATTTTTATATGAATGTATAATTTAACACATTTTGATATATTATATATTATTAAAAACAAGCTACTCAGGCAATAGCCACTAATTCTAGCAGCCAAGAAATAATGCGCGTAGCCCCAGGAAAGCCTGTTACATTGAAATGCAACTGCCCCGATCCTAGTAAACCTTGCAAAGTTACCTGGACCAGATTAAATGATGGAAAAGAATTGAACACAGAATCAAATGTTTTTCAAGGGATTTTGACTATACCCAAAGTTGGAGAAAATGATTATGGCGCTTATAAATGTACCGCAGATGGAAGTGATTTAGGAGTTACAGTGGTTGTCGACAGACCTACCAGTTAACTTACATTTGTTAACAATATTTTTCACTAAAATTTTTTAAAAATATTAATGTATGATATAAGATTATGAAAATTCTGATTCTAATTATAATATATTCTTTTAATAAAAAATTTACCAATTAAAAAGATGAATAGCTTTTTCAGTATATATGTCACATCTAATATACAAGCTTAGATTGCTTACAAACTTAATAGAGGCGTTGATATACGAACTAGTCTCAGTATACAAACAAGTTGGTTAATTTACAAACTAGCCAGCTAACATAAACAGATAAGCTAACCATTGGCGTGCGCAATGGAGGATGGGGGCAGAAGGACAACCCCGCCTGAAATATTTTCAAAAATATTATTGTTTTATATTTATTTCTATTTTACAATACACATTTCTATCTCTTATTAAATATATATATCTAGTTACATTTATTTATCACATTCATATACAAATTTTTAATTAATTTTGAATTCAAATTTTCTTTGGCGTAAATATTTATCTACCATTTTCAAGTTTCCCGTCAAATAATTTCAATTTTTTTTCACTTTTAAATTATTGATATATGATTTTTTACACATATTGATGATGACGACATTCAGGATCCTAGTCATCTTACAAAAAAGCAAAATATATTGAAGACAATTTTTAAAATATTTTATTTACTCTTAATAATTAAAACCATCCCCTAATAAATATAAATCTCACAAAAGTTTTAAATTTATGATTTCATCAAAAGATTTAATTCAGTGGAAATATGATTTCCATTTCATCACATATTGATAACAATAAGATTAAAATAACACAAGAAAATAGGTGTAAGATCAAATTAACTATTGAGGCCATTCTATATTGTGGATTGCAGGGCCTAGCATTACGTGGCCATTTTGATTTAGGAAGCTTGAATTCAATAATAATGATAATGAAGGTAATTTTTGTGGTCATGTAAAATTTAAAGTATTAGGGGATTCTGCATTAAAGGAGAGCCTTAATAGTAGCAATAAGAATGCTACATATCTCATCTTCAGAATTCAAAATGAAATTATTGACACTTGTAATAATTTTAGAAAAATTAATTAATGAAATCAGTTCTGCTCCATATTTCTCAATTTTGGCAGATAAGACCACAGATATTGCAGTCAATGTCATTGTGCACACAATACATTGATAACCAAAATAATATTATCTAAAAAAATGTCTTTTCATTTATTCATGTTTCAAGCAAGACCGGGTCTGCCTTAGCTGATGCAGGTATTTATTTATTTTTTCTATTCATTTTTGGTCATTTTATTTTTCATAAAATTCACCTGATATTTTCTTATATTTTGTATTTTATAATTTTTTTATCTCATTTCTGTCTATTTTTGTTAAATGTTTTCACTCATTTTTTGTATTTTATATTTAAAAAAAATGGATTTAATTTTTCTTATGGTATCTTAAATATTTTTCTTTACCTATTTTTGCGTGTTCATCACTTTTTTAACATGTAGCTTAATTTATATTTTCATGTTCAAAATTAAACCTTAGAATTTTACTTGAAAGGAGTAGAACACGAAATGTATTGGTAGTAATTATGAGTCAAGAAGATGTATTTTATTGTCTTGAGGGTGCTCAAAGTGTTTTATAATGTGTTAAAAGTAGACCAAAGGGGGAAAAATGTGTAAAATCCTTACAAGTTACAAAAAAAATTTAAAAAAATATAAAGTTATACTAATATGAATAAAAATCAGATTAGATTTCAAAAAAACATATTAAATTATTCCGAAATGGGAGAAAAAAATACAAAATGGGGGGTGGGGGGGGGGGAATAAAGTTAAAAAATGTTCAAAATAATATAACAAGAATATTATCTAAATGTTAGATAACTTCTGCTATATGAATTTATCTCTAAATTTTGTAAATTTTCCCCATTTTTTAGTATTTATTATTTAAAAATAATTTAATGTATTTTTCCCCATTTTTACTTACTTCTTGAATTTTTCAACGCATTTTTAATTATTTTGAACATTTTTTAACTTTATTCGAAAAACTATAAAATAAATGCGAATTATAAAAAATATTAAAAGTAATAACCAGCGACATATGGAAAACCATTGAATTTCTCACTCATTGTACGAGCTCCATCATACCCCTGCTTATTTGTCAAATTTATATTCAGCTCTTTCAAAAAAATATTAATTTTATCATGAGATTAATTATTACTTTGATTTAAAAAAAAATTTTAAGCATAGCCCGACTTTTTTTAAGAAATTTTTTTTAACCCAGTCAGGCCCAAATTTGTAAGCCATTTACACACCGGGTTTATTGGTCGAGCCTTCAGGTCTCTTGAAAATATAAAGGTACCCGAAAAATATTATATTATTCAAAAAAATAATCAAAACTAAAAGTATTTATTGAAAAGGAGAAAAACCAACAAATTCAAAAAAATATCGAGTTGACAAACTGGGCAAGCCGCGGACTAGTTTGTATTTAAGCATTTTATGTACTTAGCTAACAGTTTGTATACTACTTAGATAGCTAGTAAACTAGCTTAACCTCCAACTTATTTATATACCATTAATTGTAAACTAGCTGAGTTTATATATTTGCTGTAATAAATATGTCGTATGAGGATATGGAACCCGAGGAGATTCGGAATATCTTGATTTTAAATCCTTTACCGAGATCGATTTAAAGAATATTAAAATCCGATTTAACCGGAAATGTATTCTAACATGTGTAGAGTATTTACCCTATAAATTTCAGCCATAGAAATTTTGGTATTTTTTAATATAAGAAAATCCATATAAAGAGTAGTTCTAAAGTTCATTGCAAAATTGTTTGAAATTTACCGTTTGGGTACTCTATACATGCCGAAATACAATTCCTGTATCAGATTTTCAAAATCTAAAAATCGCCGTTAGTAAATGATTTAAAATTGAGAGATTCTGAATCCCCACTGATTCCATATCCCCATACGACATATATATTGTCTTCGTTTTTAATTTTGATATCTTTGAGTCTTTGAGTTACTTTTATTTTGGGAGATGATACATTTATTTTCATAGTAAATATTTTTAGTTAAAGAATTATTTATTTTATTTGACTTATAAACATTCTTTAACAAATAATTTAAGATTGAAAGGATTCATACCTAATAAACATAACATTTCTAGAAAGATATGAAAATACACTCGAAAACATACAATAAAAGATGATCACTTTTATATTTATTTTAGAATAATATTATTTTTGTGTAAATGTCCCTTTATTAGTTTGTGAATATTATTAATTATTAATCATATCCTTTTTTTACAGTGGCGTTTGATGATATATACATATTAATATTAAATTTATGTATAAATTGAAATTACCTTCTTAAGTTAAATAAATATTGTGTTTAGTTTTAAATAAGGTAAACCTGGTTATTTAACACCACATTGAGTCGCTCACAATAGAGAAAATATTAACATATTTGTCCATATATAGTGAATTTAAGCATCAAATAATACATAAATGAAGTTAACTTGCGTTAATTTTTATAAGTGCAATCGGATCTAGAATTATTATTATTATTTTTCCTGAATATTTTACAATAATCTATCTCAAGCCCATTTAGAAAATATTATTAGATTTTACCGAACTTATAAAATATAGTATTTAACATAACTATTATAAACCCTGACCTTTATTTTTGGAGCATTAAAATAAGGTATCCGCTAACGCAATCTATGAGCTTTGTATCAATCCTCAGCCTAAACCGCGTAGTTCATTATATCTAGAAGACTTATTCACTTATTCACTGCTTTATATTGTTTTGAACGGCTTCATAGCTATAAGGTATCTGCTGTTAGATTTTACCAAAGATGGGGGGGGGGGGGGGGGGTTTGGTGAAATGCCTATTAAATATAATATTTCTTATAATATAAACCCTACCCCATATCTTTGTAGAATAGTTCTTAGCTAACCTTTAACGCCATCTACTAGCTTGTTAGCCTGAACCGTGCAGTTCGGTAAATATAACAGACACTATTGGCTGCCTTATGATCTTTGATATATTTTTACCGAATATGGGTTTGTATTATAAAATATAATATTTCTTGCAATCTAATATAAATTTTAACCTGCGTCTATCTACCCTAAACTGACACGATCCATATTTGGGGAAAAATTGCATCAAGCCAGGGACGAATCCATTAAAAATATAAAAATATTCTTA